CCAAAAAAAAACCCCTCCAACAGTCCGATCCTCATCATGTCCCCATCAACCGTGACCTCCAACCCCAACTTGAAACTCCCCGTAACCTTCCTCATAACAGGCTGCTCCTCAGGCTTCGGACTAACCCTCTCCCGCCTAGTGCTCTCCCACGGCCACACTGTAATCGCCACCTCCCGCAACCCCTCCCGCACCCCAGACCTCGTGTCCGAGATAACCTCGCTCGGCGGCCGCTGGCTCCAGCTCGACGTCGACGACAAGACCTCGCCCTCTCTCATTTACGTGCTGGTCAACAACGCGGGCTACTCGATCCACGCGCCCGTCGAGGTGCTCACCGAGGGGGAGTTGCGGCAAATGATGGAAACGCTGTACTTTGGCCCGGCGAGACTCATCCGGGCAGTACTGCCCTACATGCGCGAGAGGAGGTCCGGGGTGGTGGTTAACATGAGTAGTGGGGCCGGGCTGGAGGGGAATGAGAGCATGGGCGAGTACGCGGCTGCCAAAGCGGCGTTGGACGGTGATTAACAACCTGACCTCCTAATAGTTGGGAAATGGAAGGGCGGGCGCTGGGCTGACAACAAGGACAGGCTTGAGCAAGGTCCTCGCAAAAGAAGTTGCACCGTTCGGGGTGCGCGTGCTGACGGTGCAGCTGGGCACGTTCAATACCCACATGACATCATCTAATGCTCTCGACAGCCCCGATTCCTATGCGGCCGCCTGGATCGCTGCTCTTCCCATTGAGCGGGCCGCTGCAGAAGCGAGGCTCGATGAGGAACATGCAGCGCCAATCGGTTTCACTAGACACCAAACTGACGCGAACGTTTATACTTGTGGTCGCGTGGCAGAGCACAATATCGTCATTGCCTCTCTGGCCGATGGAGGCTAAGGAACCACCTCAGCTGCGACCATGGCCTTTCAGCTGCTTGCCTCTCTGCCATCCATCCGTGTTGGTCTTTTGGTCGACATAGGCGGCGGCATCACTCGACCGGACGAGGCCCGCGATATCCGGCTCGGCGACATTGCCGTGAGCCAGCCTGATGGGACCACGGGCGGCGTCTGCCAGTACGACTTGGTCAAGGCAAAGTCAGATGACAAGCGTGAGCGGAAAGACTTCCTCGGACGGCCTCCGACGGTCCTCCTTAATGCGCTTGCCAGCATCCAGGCCGATCACGAGCGGAAAGACTCTAAGGTTCCGTTTTATCTCCAACAGATGTCAGAGAAGAATCCAAAGATGGGCAAGAGATCTAAGCAAAATTTCGGCTACACTCACCAGAGCCTCGACAACGACCGCCTCTTCAAAGCTTCATGCCATCATATCCCCGGGCCGGACTGTCGGGGCTATGACATTTCTGATGAGGTTCAACGCGATCCGCGAGACGCTGCTGATCCTAAGATTCACCACGGGATCATCGCATCGGGCAACACGGTTGCCAAAGACGCCGCTACGCGCGATCGGACTGTTGGCGACGTCAGCGAGGATTACATCTGCTTCGATATGGAAGCGGCCGGCCTGATGAACCACTTTCCCTGTATCGTGATCCGAGGGACCTGCGACTACGCCGATTCTCACAAGAACGATCGGTGGCAACGCTACGCATCGGCCACCGCCGCTGCGTATGCCAAGGAGCTCCTAGCCTACGTGCCGGTCGCGGAGGTCCAAAAGACCAAGAGGGCACTGGAAGTGCTTCAGTTGGGTTAGTGCTTGTTTCAGTTACTAGGGCTAGACTAGCAAACACACAACATTGAATAACATTTTAAACCTAGAATACGACCTGAATGCGAGTAGTTCAAGAACAGATCGATGGCGTACAGCAGACGGCAGTTGCAACGAAAGCTACAACTAATTCCATCAGGTCTGACCTTCGCACCGATAAGATCAAGCGCTAGGTTTGGCCCCCAGATCCGTCTACAAACGCCAACCACGCGAGGACGCTCCGACATGAGGGGACAGGCGCGTAGCTCCTGGAAAACCTGGTCTTCCAGCAGTGGTAGTTAGGGTCGCGTCGATATATATAGCTGAATGGGCTCACAGGATGTGACAAAACGGTTCTAAATGTGACTGTGCTGGTTCATCTCGCGAAGGGAAACGACCGTCTTATCCTCAGCTTCCTCTTTGACTTTAGCTACACGACAAAGCAGACATTAGATGGCATGCTGCGGTCGCTTGCTTTCCAACTTTACCAAGGCGGGACTGGTACTGCAGCACTTCTCGGCGCGTCATTTCAAACACACCAGGATGACCGCGACCAACCTGCGACAAAGATGCTCGAGGACGTCGTATTGGCAGTTCAGAAGGAATGTTCTGTTATTATAGACGCCTTGGACGAGTCGACAACAAGGGGTGAACTTCTCCTGTGGATGAACGATGTGGTGTCCGGGCCAGAGTTAAGCCATGCCCGGCTGATTTGCACCAGCCGGCCTGAACCCGAGTTCATGCGCGACATTCCCTCGTTGATAGGCGAGGAAAACTGCTTAGCACTCGACGAGGAGTCCATCAACGCCGAGATCAGATCGTACGTAGCAGCACAGCTTTTGCAGCGACGTGAGTTTCGGGACAAGCGTTTATCCCAGGATCTCCTAGAGAGGATTCAAAAAAAGGTCGGCGGTAAGGCTGACGGGCTGTGAGATATTACATTACTAATTCGATCTATATGCGGATGGTTCGCTAATGCTCCGCTAAGGTTCAGGTGAGCATTCTGTCAATTGGACGGCCTGGCTCAATGCCGTCATGAGAAGGCTGTTGAGGACGCTCTTGCATCTTTGCCGCGGAACCTGGAAGAGACATACCGACGCATTGTTCGGTGCATACCGGCAGAGCTCAGATAGGACGCAATACGGCTCCTCCAGTTTCTAGTGCACTCGACGCGGCCTCTCAAGCTGGCCGAGGCTGTGGAAATAATAGCAACACAGATCGAACACGAACCACGACGGTTTGACGTCAAGCGTCGACTGTTTTGAGAGGATAAGCATGCTTGCGAGCCACCAGAGTCTATCGTCTCTCCTTTTCTTCAAGTTCAGTGTACTCGTAAAGTCGTCATCAGCTGGATGCAATATACTACCTGAGACCGTCACAAGAACCAGTTCAACATTACGACTGCCAGCATTTCTATCACAAGGACGTGCCTGACTTATCTTACAGACATCAACGGTAGCAACAAGGAAATCAGGCGGGATTTTCCGATGGCAAAATATGCAGCGGAAGTCTGGCGGACTATGCTGCGTTGGCTCAGGCTTCGGAAGATACGGCCCGAGCGACAGTCAGTGTTCCTGAAAGTGGAAGCGACGTTCCAACGGTGGGTTCGATTGTATCAGCCTGATAAGGCTTGGAGCGATGACCCAGGTCCTCCACAAGGTTCCAGTCTACTATGCTTGCTGCGTTGGACTCGTATCGCCTGCACGGAATCTTATCAGCAAGGGAGCTGACGTCAACGCACAGGGCAGCGATCACGGCAACGCTCTCCAAGCCGCCTCATTGGGAGGCCATCAGGAGATTGTCCAACTGCTCTTTAACAGAGGAGTAAGCGTCAACGCAAAGGGCGGCGATCACGGCAACGCTCTGCAGGCCGCTTCATGGGCAGGCCGTCAAGAGGTTGTCCAACTGCTCTTGGACAAAGGAGCGGACGACAACGCGAAGGGCGACGACCACGGCAGCGCCCTCCAGGCTGCTTCATGGGGAGGCCATCAGGAGGTTGTCCAACTGCTCTTAGACAAGGGAGCGGACGCCAACGCGAAGGGCGGCGTACTGTAGATCAAGTTCCCAAATGATAATATCTTTAAATTAGCCTGGATGAAAAAGTGGCCTGGTTACACCCAGACATCAACAATTTTGTCTGACGCTTTCCAATCCATCTGAAACACTCGGTCCAGCCAGAGGGCGAAATCTACTTTATGATTCATCTATACTCTAACTACATACTTTGAGTCATAGTACCATGCATCTAGGGAGACAAAAGTCAAGAGACATTCACGATGTGATATAATCACCCCGCCCCTTGTTCTCCAGACACCTACCACCAACACCTCGCTATATCATGATACAGTTCATTAAAACGGCAAGTGCGAAACCACATTCACCCACACTCTTCCACCACCGTCTGCTTCCATTCAACAACTCACAAGCTCAAGAAATCCAACTCCCGATTCCTCCCAGCCGGCGACACCGCACCAGCCCCATTCCCGCAATTACCACCACCTCCAGTAGCAGCAGCCCTCGCCCTAGCCCTAGCCCTTGCCGAGCCCACCGCCTCCTCCACACTCTGCACCAGCTCATCCAACGTGACAGGCGTCATAGGCGGGACAACAGCCACGGTAGCTCTTACATCCGCCTCGGGAGCCCCGACGCCAACTCCAACCTCATCCGCAGCGGTAGTGGTGGTGGCTGACATTGACACAGCGCAAGCAGCAACAGGCGGGCTGGTAGTTGTGGTGGTGGAGAGCCAGTCGATTGCTGCCTCGACGGTGTCGCCATCGCTGGCAACAATGTCTGAGGAAGAAGATGATGAGGAGGAGGAGGCCGAAGGGTTGAGGGTGGTGGTGGTGTCGGGCCCCAGGCTAAAACCGACGCCGAGCTCTGTTTCGAAGGAGAGGATGGCCGGATCGCGGCAGATGGGCGTGCCGTCGACCGTGGCGTGGGAGAGGTGGCCGTGGATAGAGGGTGGGGATGCGTTGATCGTAGCTGGGACGGAGATTTCTGTTTGTAAGTTGCTGTCATGGGCGGCGGGTTGCTGGAGGGTGTCGGCTGGGGCCGTGATGGCTGGTTTGGAGGGTTCGGCGAGCCATTCCTCGATGGTCTTGTCGACTGTGGTATCGTCGTCATCAACCACCGCTGCAGAGACAGGTAGCGGGATAGTAAGGGTAGAGGCGGGAGGGGGAGGGCTTGTGATATTGGTGGAAGGTTCGCGGGATTTGGGTGCGGCACCATTTCCGTTGCAGCTCACCAACGAAAGGTCTCCTGATGCGGTGGGAATCAGCATCGGAAGCGGGGCCTCTGTGTTCTGTGGTGCGTTGTGAGGCGCCCAATCCTGGGATGTGACGCCTTCACCGCCGCTGTTGACGAAATCGACAAACGAGGAGTGGAAGAGGTCGAGGTCAAATGTGCCTGACTCGCCTGGATTCTGGTCCAGTGTCATGGGGTTGACGGTGCCCTGGCTCTGGGACGACCCCGCAGGGCTTGGGCATCCTTGGAGTGCGGCGATTGGAAACGACGGCGTGAGAAAAGAGAGGTCTACAGACGAGAGGCTAGAAAGACGGCGGCGCTTGACGGCGCGGTCCTCTTCTTGAATCGTCTCTAGCCGATCAGTTGACAGCGAGGCATTGTCGGCGGCGGCAGGCCAATGGCTGCTCCCGAAGATCCTACCGCTGCTGTTGCTGCCTTGGTACCGGCCAACAAATGCGCTAACCTCAAACCCGCCCGTCTTGACCATCTCGGACCGGATCTCGACAAGCATCGTCTTGAGCAGCTGGTACATCCTTGCAGCTGGTTGATACAGGTGGCTCATGTCGTAAATAGCAGACGAGAGCACCTGCAGATAGCGCAGGTTGCTCTGATGGTCAAGCTCGGCACTCTTATGTGCCAGGGCAGCCATCAGAGCTAGGGCTGCTGTGCCTGCATGCTGAACCACCGACAGGAGGACCCGTTTCCCATCGAAGCGCTGGCGGTGATGCCAGAAGATGCGAGCGATGCGAATGGCATGCTGTGTGCACATGCTCCGAGACATGGAGGCTCTGTTGTCGTGGTGCTGGAGCGGCGCCATCCACGGAGGGAGGCTCGAGCCGTCCTCCCGACCGGGCGATTGGGGACTCGGATAGCGGGCAGCAACCGCCCCATCTAGCGACAAGGGACCGTACTTCGCCCAAGGTCTGTGCAGGAGAATCATGCACACATGGAACTGCTGGTGGAGCATGAAGAACCCCATAGGTGCAGACTTTATGTTCAACGGCTTCCAAGCCAAGTTCTCGGGAAGCCTGCGGTACCAGTTGTGAAACAGACGCTCGAGACCGACGAAATGGAGATAGGCTCGGTCCTCCGCAGCTTTGGTTGGGAACAGATGGCCGAGCCCATACGTCGAATTCTGGAAGTCAGCCACCTTTCCTGCCAGCTCTAGTAGCTCGAACATCTGCCGGTTGATAGCCGCGGGCGTTGCCACGGTAGCGATAGTCGTATCAACTGAAGACTTCTCAGTGACCGTCGGGAGGACATCGACCCCAATATCCTGGGCCTTGATCGCGGTCGGACGGCCGAGGAGGAGGGCACACTTCCTGTCAAATATGACGCACGCCGCCATAACCTGCCGTCTTGTATGTATTTCAAGTTCTGACAGGCCTGCCCCAGTCGTGTTGGCGTGGAGTCCAATGTCAAAAGCCAGCCGGTTCGCCATGCCTGCCATCAGTCAGCATTGGCAACGAAATCAAGCAACTTATGCCCAACATACCCGAGTACATCCAGCCAGTTGTATCCCGGCCAACACCACACTCCAAATCAGCCAGCATGAGCAGAGCCTGAACACTGGGAATGCCACCAGGCTTCTCCAGCTCGATTTCCAACATGGACTTGGTCTCCCGGTGGAATGTGCTCTCCCGGTTCCCGAGGATGATCATCTTCATGTCGTCCCTGTGCCAGTCGGCAAAGCGAAAGGCGATGGCGAGCATGGCGAGGTGAAGGAACGGAGAATAAAATCTCGCGTCCTGGGTTGTTCTGCCCGCCTCGAAGGCTGACTCGTCAACCACCTGTTGCCAAGAGTTGTAGTATTCCCAGAAGCACCTCATCAGGTGATCGTAGGTTGCCGGTCCAAGAGACTCGATGAGCTGCTCCGCCCTGAGATCGCACTCGGACCGATGTCGCTGTACGAAAGTGCTTGAAGATCTGGCATGCACATGACTGTTGGCGGTTGGACCAAAAAACCTGGTCCTGCCGGCAGCCTGGTCAAGAATGTAGCTCCCCTTTGCGCTTAGAAGGTGACGCGTCCCAGCCTCCTTCTTAGGCTCAGGTTCCTGGAGCAGTAAGGGGTCAATCAGACGGAAGGACGTGCGGTTGGCGGATGGGAGGCGCTTGGGCGGCTCTGGCTCGACCATGATGACATCCTCATCCCCTGACCCAGGCGGAGTTGGTGGTCGGTTCAGGGGCCGTGGGGCCAGCTTCGGTTCCAAGTCGGCACTCTCCAATCTCCCGCTGTCGCTCTGGGGTTTGTGCTGTTCCTGCTGTTGCCTCGCCTGCGCTTCTTGCCTCGTCTTGGGCGGGTGTACCGCTGGAGGAGGGACGACGCCGCGTTCTTTGAGCATCTCCTCGAGCAAGGCAATTCTGCTTGACAAAGATGACATGTATGCCTTCGAGATCGGTCTTTCCACACATTAGATATGGTCGGCAGCGCACTCGCACAGTGGGGCGGGCACCTACCGCCGTCTCTCGTCGTCATCCTTGATGATGCAGGGAGCCCCTGTCCTCTTGCACTGAGCGCATTCAGACTCTCCCTCACCCACGACGCACCGTATCCTCCTCTCGCGGCAAGAGGCGCAGGCGATCGAGGCACGATGCCGGATCTGCTGCTTCGAGTATGAACGTGACGACGGTGCCGGGCTTGATGCGTGCTCCGAACTGGCTCTATCGCTCTCTCCTTCCGAGCGGGATCTCCTCTTCCCGCCCGAGATCGCCGTTGCTGTCATGGTCGCAAATCGGTGCCAGTTTGGTCCTAGGTTCACTTGCAATGTGTTTCAGTGTATTGTACGGTCCGTACCGAAGGTGTTGTGAAACGTTTCGGCGAGTCAGGGCGACGGCAGCAGCAAAGAAGTGAGCGACGAGGGAGAGAAAATGGAAGATTCCCAACTGGCGGACACGCGAGCGGACCCCGGTCCGTTAAAATGGTGGTCTCAATGGAGAGGCCGTGGATAACAGCCGTGCCGAAAGATGGAGCATGAAAGAGCTCCCCTCGCAAGGGCAGCTGCCATTGCAAATGCAAGCGCCCCGCAGTCGCCGTATCTCCTGCCGAGGCCCGCTTTGCTGGGACAGGGCCATCGGCCAGCTGCTGTTTGAACCAACCGGTCCACCGTTATTCCCAATAGACGCTGTCGTGGAGTCCACACTTGGCTGGGCTAACACGTTGACAGGTGGAGGAAATCCGGGGGTTTGGAGCAGTGAGAGGACCAGAATCCCTGGGCCTACCACATGAGGCCCAAAAAGGCAGGCTAGCCGTGCTGTCCACACTGGGCAGAGCTACCTAGTAGATAGCCCCCTAGCACCTGGTTGCCTTTCATGGCGGATGGCTTCGACGGCTCTGGGGAAACTGGAGGGGTGTTGCGGGGGTTCGGACATAGCCAGATCACGGCAATTCTTCGCGCAGCGAAAGGGCGAGCTCCTGGATTCAACCCTATGCCGCACAGTGATTCGTCAATGGCACGCCGGAAGACCCGGCCAACTTTGCACCCCGCAACCACCCTGGTCTAGCCTGAACTCCGGCAGGTGGAGACGGCCCCAGAGAAACCCCACAGATTTCCAGAATGCGGAGATTTGATGGGATCGTTGGAGACAAAAGGCAACTCTCACTTCAGCTGGCGACCCATCAAACGCGTCAGCCATGTTGGCCTCTCAGACCGTGTGCTCTCGAACAATCCTATCCCGTATTCCCGCACATTGGTCCCGCACATTGGCGGATGGGTTTTTGATTCACTTGAGCAGGCGTTCTCGAAATCCGCGAGCGCAGTTCTCCATGGCGTCTGAGGCATGGGCCGTCATGGCATTCGGGACTCGGCCGGTCCTCGGCTGAGTAGCGTAATCCCTCAGCAAGCCGAAAGGCGAGTCATTTGGTCTCATGCTGTGTCGACGTTGGACTCCAGCCGGTTTTAGCTGAATCGTCCGAAGTCACCATTGACACTTCGCTCCTTGGCAGCAACCCAACAGAGACCCTTGAATGGCGACTTGGGACGTCACGGCCCACTTCCCCAGCTTCTGGCCATGACGCTAGTGGTGGCTTGGGAAGCGTATTAGGTTTCAGCACATGGATGCTCGGCAGAAGCATGTAATGTGGTTTTACGTTCTTCCGACGCCTGAGCATACGGAGCTGCCTGCACCATACCCACCACACAAGCAGCGCCTGCTTAAAGTGTCTTCTTGCTTGAGGCATCGATGCGGAAGCTCGCGAGGTGTAGGTGTCTGGTTTCAGGATGGCCACCTGTGGAGTTGGGTCCAGGAGCGCTATCCCCGCAAAGAGTCTGGGGAAGCGGCGCAGCAACTCTGCAACGGTGCAGGGAAGGGTGGGGGCAATCGAAACACTCTGCTGGACAAGGTGTCCTTCGAAGGAGGAGTTGTCGGCATTCAATTGTATGTCCGACGGTGTAGCGTTCAGAGAGCTGCCTCGTGACCAGAAGCTGATAGCGCAGAGAGAATGGTAGGCGAGTAGGGGGGGCGCTGAGATTCGGCGGCTTACACTACGTTTGCATCAGCAAATGTGGGACGCGGCAGTTGATGAATAGCGAGTGTTTGCGAGTTATCACCGCGACCCTCCCAGCGGCAGCAGTTTCGAGGGGTTTTCCCATTTCCGAATCACGAACTCGGAACGCATACGTCCAGCAGCAAAGCGCCGGCACCAATGCTCAACGGACGACACACAATTGGCAAAATGTTTCGGTCATGCTCCAGACGGCTGGTACCTCAACGAGACCCGGGTCAAGAGCGGAAATTCTCATTTCTTTGGCCAAGTGACGGTACGGTGTCAGCCTACTGGCCTGGGTTCTTGCGCAGCAGGCGGACTGGGAGATAATTGTCGGGTCTTCAGCTCAGGAACCACTGCATACATCCAGTCAGTATCTGAGTGTACACTAGTTAGGGTGGCCAAGTACTTACGTCTTTCGTAAAGGAAGTACGATGTTACGATTAAGAAGGGAAACGCGACGACGAAGCGAACATATCGGCTCGCGGCCTGTTTATACTCTTTGCTTGATGTGTCAATGGGTTTCCGTACAGGGATGGATGCCTGCGGGCGTGCCGAAGCGCGCGGTGATGGAGGGACGCTGATAGGCTTCGTGACTGAGGCGGCAGGTTCTAGCGCGGGGACCGTCATCGAGGGAGAGTCAGTGTGAGTATTCCCATCTGCAGCCCCGATCGATGGTTCAGTTGACGACGATGCCTCTGGTCTCTTGAACCTTAACGCTTGGTCGCTGCTCTCGACAGACTTATGCGGCTTAGCTAACTTGGGCCCGGGGCGCACTGGCCGCGTCGTTCTATCTGACGTTGAACGGACATAGCCTATCCTCCGAACATGCGCAGCCAGAGGAGTCGAGATAGCCGATACAGGTAGCTGTAAGCCGCCTTGGAGGAGGGAACTTGGGCTGTGGCCTCGCACAGAGCCACCCAGTCCTTTCACGCTTCGGAGCATTGCTGCGATTCGAGCATCGAGGAATGACATAGGTTTACCAGGACGCGGGATCCTAGGCTGGCACACTTTTGTCAGTCTAGGGGAGCTCAGTCGTTCAATTTGTGGACCTACGGCTGATAGTTGCAATGGCGGCGAAGTCAAGCCGATCTTGGGTACTTGTCGCAGACACAGACGCGCAAGACACGCAAGACGCGCAGCGGAAACCGTCGGGCTAGGTGCTGGAACAGCGTTTCGATCCTCCCCAAACGATGGAATTTGGAGCAGCCCGGTTCTTGGCGTTCTGGAGCAGGACCGGTAACTTACGGCCGTACCACTACCAGACCGGATCGTACGGATACCACCGGACAAACTATATTCCCATTTCAGTCCAACTGTCAGCTGGTGCTAGGTGCGAGTTCAGGTTCTCGCATCACTTTGTCCATTACGCTTTGCTTTCCTGAAAACTCCCCTATCAAAACATTACACTACACCACGGCATCTCTCAGCGACAGTGGCCGATAACGCTTTCCTGCTTCAAATTCTTGCAGCAGTCCTTGAACGCCTGGCGCTTATCACGATCCACGGCGCAAATCTGGTTGTGCAAGATCGGTTAGCGGGCGCTGTCGCAACCTGTATGACCTGAGCGAGGCACACTCACATTGTCATAGGTTCTGTAGCCCATTGACTTGCAGCATCCCAGAGTCTGCGTCTTGAGCAGAGACCCGTCCCGGCTGTTCATGCATATGCAGTCATCAGGCTCGAGGTACCAGCTTCCAGGACACTGCTGGGCCAATGCTCCGCCGAGACATCCCAGGGTGAAAAGGATGGGGAAAGCTTTCATGGTGTCTCAACACCGGTTTCGCAGATGAAGCTTGAATATATGGTGGAGGGGAAAAAAGAACTGAGTAACTTGCTAGGCTGCCGGAGAGCCAGGATCCTTTTATTTTGAACTTGAACCATTATATCATGACCAGCTCTGATGCAAAACAAGTGTAAGGAGCCTTCTGTTGGCGCGGATCAATTCACATGCAAGGCAATATATGCACAATTCTGCCTACTCTCACCGAGAGTCCCGTTGATCATGTTGCGTGTTACATCTCAATTTCCAGCTCGCAGCGAAGGTGGTAAACCACAGATTATCCCAAACAGCTGGAAATTGAGAAAGTGCGTAGAGAGCAACAGAGAATGTCGAGTAGGAGGTCGATGTTGGTATTACTTTGGAGTGATGAAGGTGAGGTAGGAAGGACAAAATTAAGAACCCTAGGGATCTGAGCCTAGAGTAGTTGCCCAGGATCTAACCTCGTTCAGTCAAGCAATCCCAGGGGTCGATTAGCATGCCCTAGTTGTTATCATGGAGATAGTCACAAGCAGTCAGTCTTCCAGGGGCCCCAGGAAAGCAGACATGATCACTGTGGTGACATTTGAAATGTTATTATCGCCTTCACGGATACAGCCGTGGCATCCCGCCTGCATGGTCCCTAATACCATCCGCTCACCGGAACAGCCCGGTTCATCGTCGATGGAACATCCAGTTACAGACCACATAGCCGGTTAAAGTCAACCGCTAGACATAGCACAAACCATCCTTGTTTCTGCCTTACTGCTCTATAGCAGCGGCGGGCTCGTGTTCTATACATCGCAATAAGGTACTCTACAATACACAATCTACCCACAGCCCCTCGCCCTCCCCCCACTATAATTCCCCGGCAGCTTGGCGTCCCCTCCCTTCGCCAGAATAGGGATCCTCTTCCTGTCCTTTCCGATAAACGACGACGAAGACGCCGGCAGCGAGTTGACAGCGTTCCACATCTCCACCACACCCGCTCTCCGCGCGGGCAGCATGCTGTACTGCAGGCTGTATAGATTCTTGCGGTTCAACGGCGGGACAAACTTGCCCGTCAGCAGGCACAGCAAGACGCGTGGCGAGAGGTAGTGCTTGCGGATCCGGTGGCCCATCTGGAAGTACTGGTGGAACATGGCCTTGAAGTTGAGCGGGACGGACTGTTGGCGGGGGAAGCTGTTTGTTAGCTAACCTAGCTTGCATGGCTCAGGATTTGATGGACTCATGAACTGAGAGACTCACCTTTAAGTGTATCACAGAAGTCGACGGGAGTTGTTGTTGTTGTTGTTGTTGTTGTTGTTGGGTGGTGTCAGTAACAGAATGTCTAAAGTCTTGGGTATCTCGAAGTTCAAAACGAATACCGCCTATCCTCAAGTCAGAGATAGCACACGGCCAGCCTGTTTCCGAGACGACATACCCGGAAGCCGCCCGGGATCTTTGACCCGAAGCATAAGCGCAAACAGCGGGAAATGGTTCAGGCACGAAAGCATAGTGTCGAAAACCGCCTTCAGCGAAATGATGGCCATGCGAGCGATGGCAAAATTAAGATAAAACACAACCACCGTTGGGAGGAGGAAGAAGAGAAGCGTGAAGAGAATGGTCCCCACAAGGAGCTGGTCGAGGTCGTAATCGCACGAGTCGATACGGTTTCGGAGAACATTGTGTTTCTTGCCCCTAAAGAGATGGAACAGCGAGATCAGTATGTTCAGCTGCCAGTGGTAAATCCGGGCCGAGGCGAGATAGAACGAGTAGATGTGCAGCGTCAGGATTGAGAGGAGGTCCGAGAACAGCGCTATCGGCATGCTCGCCCCGGCAAAGCTGGAGAAGCCAATGAACCAGATAACGTGCGGTAGCACAGGGCGGAGTGCCTCGATGCAGCCTGGCCATGTCAGCAAGTCTTCGGTATACGACATAGCAGAGAGGGCGTACTTGACCAGTAGTCAATGACCCACAAGAACAAGTCACCCAGAAAAGCCCCCAGCTCATTGTTCAGCTTCAACCCGGCAGGCCAGCCCATGAGCCATGAGATGCTGCTCTGCAGGGCATCCACCGTGTACTGGCTGAGGAGCTGGCTGATCTCCTCGGCGACCCAGCCCGAGTTGTCGATGATGTAGGACCCGAGCGCGATGCCAATGATGACATCGTTGGCCACGAGCCAGAGGCTGTTGTAGAAGCGGATGTAGTCCGGGTGGCTCGTGGTCACGCTCTCCCAGTCGTTCTTGCGGAGCCGGAGCGTGACGTATTGCATGGGCCAGTAGCAGAACTGCTGGAGCCGGATCTCAACCTGCTGCGCTGTAGCGGAAATGTCCTTCAGCGCCGCGTATCTCGGCTGCGCTCTCCACTCCAAGATGCGCAGCAAAACTTCGGCGGCGACCCGGTGAGCCATCAGCCCCAGCACGAATATTTTCTTGATGACCGGCCAGACATAGATTGTGAACATATCCCACATCCACACCAGCATCATGTCTCGGGCCGTTGTTGCCGACTCGACGACTCTCTCCGAGACACTGAGAGTCCTCTTGGGGCGCGTACCGATACGAGAAACATTCTTCTGGAGAAGCTGTTCGAGCTCCCACGCGCAGTTGACCTGGTTCACAATCTTGGCGAGTGCCTTCTCCTTTGCCGAGGGGACGCGTCTAAAGATGGAGTGCTGCGTCAGCTTCTCGACCAGTTGCCTCTTCTGCTCCTTCTTCTTGCGCTCCTCCTTCTCGTCGTCATCCTCACATCCACCGGGGACTTCGTGTTTGAAGCCGTCGTGCTTGTCGCCCAGCGCCAGCTCAATCGGGTTCAACGAGATGTATTGCATTCTTCCCGGGTGAGGTCTCTCGAAGAGGATGATCTGAATACTCGAGGCTCGGGCGCAGGTGACGGCGGGAGGCTGGCGACCAGGCCCAATCGTAACACGAATCCACGACGGATCGACTTCGAAGGTGTCGGGGGTATTGTTGGAGACACCAAGGACATGTATCGACGACTGGCCGCACAGCTCGTAGATGCGGCTTACGGGGTGTGGCGCGTTGCGCAGGAGCGTGCCCATCTTAAGGGCCCATTCCACGTTGCGCGGCTGGAGAGATGTCAGCATCCCATCCCGCACGAAGCCCTCCCAAAGTATGAGACGCCCACACACCTCCACCTCTTCCAGGATCGCCAAAACGAGCACATCCAATGCCGAGTTCCTCCACCCCACCACGACACCCCGGAGATCTGACCGCGGCAAGTCAGCGGGCCAGAATACGCGCATCAAGCCATCATGCTCTGGCATGTCAGACAGCGGCTGCCCAGCCGACGACCTAAAAGGAACCTCGGCGTCTCAGTTGTTCTCTGGCCGATATGCCGGATCCGATCGAGCGCGGATGCTGGGGGAAAGGGCGGTAACGGTCAGCCATCAATTTGAGCTGGTTCAGGGCCGAGTGCTGCATCTCTTCGTACCAGGTTCCCCTCGCGCGTCGCAAGACGCTCGACAGGCAAAAAGATGAGGAGGAAAACCAGACTGAGGACGGCGAAACCTTTGGCGGCGCGGGTCTGCGCGGGGTATAGAACGGATCTCTTGGTTAGAGGCTGTGGTTTCCAGATGGTTTCGTTTGTTGCACACCGCACTAAGTATCGGTGGTTCGGGGGAGGGAGTCTGCTTACAACCACTCCGTATTTCCAGGCGAATATGGCAAGCTCATAGAGGCGGGTAACAAGGTCCCATCGAGCGGTGATGTAGCCGGCTACGAAGATGCCAAGCGTCAGGATGGAGAAAGGGTGCATAGAATCGGGCGGTGCTATGGCCTGGGCATTCCGTGGCGGTCGATTCTCCCGATTTTTGGCGACAAGGTGACAACAACTGAAGAGAGCAGACCTTGAAATATAAGTAACTCAAAAAAACCGGAATGAAGAACAGAGGAACCTCTGTACAACACAGTCCGTCGTGTGTCAGGGGAAGTTGCGTTTGGAGGTTGAATCCAAGGCCTTGAATTGGGAGGTGTTTGACTTGACTCCATGCCGCTTTCTGATTGCGCCGAAAATACCCCACTAAAACCACCAATCAATGCTCTTCTAAGGCCCCACTTTGGAGTACCCTAACCCTGACCATCCCTTCTACTTCTGCTCACACTCCGACTTGCACAATAGATAACTTGAACGCGACGACGAGATTCATAAATGTTGTTAGCTCTCTATTGGCCTGCTTACTGTGATTTGATATTTTCGCAGTCTATCTTCTGGTGTCTTGTACTGCAGTAAACAACTGTCTTAATGACTGCGACCCGATGGACAACATGCCAATGGTACGGGATAGTAAGCTTCGGCATGAGGTATCATAGCTCCGCCAAGATTTCGTGATAATAAGATCCAAAGTCAAATCAACAAGCCCATACAACAACCGGCGATTCGCTGTTCGTCGACGACTCAATTCTCATTTTGCGTTTTGTCCACATTTACAGATCTGATTACACCTCACGCACACTCAATTTTCTTTCTCAAAAATATTCAAATACGTACTACCTACTGAGAATGGGAAGATACCTTATGACCACGGACGGTCCACAGGTATCATACACAGCGATCATCGCGCTGGACTTAAAAGGCCGCGTTCCCATCATTGTGCAATCCTAATCTGAGCGCACTAAGCGCGTTGAGCACGCAGAACATCCCCCTCGCCGTAGACAGCAACAAATGAAATTTCGTCCACCCTGGCTTTGCCCTCCGACATCTCCCTGCATCCGTCCACAACCCCTTTCCAATCAATATGAACTTGAACCTCCAGATATTCCCCACTCGGCTCCAGCTCGTGCCAGAGAATCGACTAGCATCTTCCTCGACATGCACATCCGTGGCCCCATCACACTTGACCACCACCTCGAACTCGTCCCACTCCTTCACCGGCTCGCCCGGCGTCTCAATCTTCGTCTCCAACGGGTCTCTCTCCCCCGTCGCTTCCGTGACCAACTTCTCCGCCTCCTCGGCCAACCGCACGCCCACATCGTAATCCAAAGCATCCACCCAGACGAGAATATTCTCAAAGCCAAAAACATTTAGCCCGTTCGGTCTCTTGGCCTTCAGATGTAGATGCCCCAGCCTCCTCCCTTCGCCTTCCACGGGCGTCGTGAACAACGCGCTCGGATCCTTGCTCAAGCAGCTCAACCACTGAAAGGCCGCCTTGACTGCGTTGTCCGCCGTGTCCATGACCTTGACCGTCAAGCTCACCAACGGCCGCGGCACGCCCGGCGCCAGCACGTCCAAGCCGGACTGGTAGAAGATTGTCCTTCGCTTCCCATCATCGTCCGCCGGCTTGAGAAACTGATACCATGGCCGCTGGACGACAAACTCCTTCTTGGGCCCGGGGAAAACCTCGGCCGCCACCACCTTGCCCTGGAAGGTGATGAAGAATTGGGCCAGATCGATCTGCCGCGGATGGTGGGGCGCGGTATGGACGAACCGCGCAAAGTCCGTCCACACCTCGGTCCCCTGCTTGCTGACGAGGTCCCTGTAGCTAAGGATCTTGTCACCCGACGCCGGCGTCCACCAGTAGGAGCGATCGGTGCCGGTGCGGACGGTTGTGACGCCCGCGCCATTGTCATTGTGGTCGACGGCCAGGATGGCGAGCTGGTCGTCGCGAATTTCTGAGTTGGCAGTTTTCTTGTATTCCTGAAAGTAGTAGCCCTTGGGGCCGGTGGTGATGTGGGATTCGGCTACGGCGTCGTAGCCGTCGTCGATGCCGGCGGTAAGGTACTCGTCTACTGTCTCGGTGCCGGTGTGGGGCCCAGCGCAGGCGTCGAGGGCGACCCATTTGGAAGAGGAGGTTCGGTAGGAGACGAAGTCGTGGTTCCGGAAGGGGGAGGGGGCCGAGAGCATCTTCTCGGGTTTGGGATGTGTTTGGAGGTGTCGATATTGAGGTAGAAGGTCTAGATGGTGGGCATTTGACCAGGAATTTTGTTGTTCATGGAGGGAAAACAAAAGGAGTTGCCTAACGTTGTTGGTATCGCCCCATCCGACGAGATTGATTTCTTTGATGTAGCCGAAGGGTTCCTTGAACATCCAGCGGATGCGGCCGTTAGGAACACCGAGGAGAGTGGCTACCTGGACGATGGCGGCCTGGTCGTAGCAGTTGACGGTGCAGCCACCCGACTTGCGGACAGAGTCGTCGAGCCATGAATCCAGGTTGAAGTATCGGCCGTAGGGCCCGCCCGCGTAGCTGGGTCCGCCATGCCACTGCGTACCTACGTCAGCAACTTGGATACTAAAGAGGGTAGGTATTCTTCTGAATGGGTCAAGCGTGTGTGACTCACAATGTCGTAGACGAAAGCATGGATGCGGTCCTGCAAAGACACCTCATGCGGCGAAAAAGCCTTGTCAAGGGTGCTCTTGTCTGCCATTGATGCATGACACTTCTTGACTACCCAGTCATTGAGGTTGCGGAGACTGGTCAGTTTACAAGCCGGCTCGACAAAGAGGCGCAGCAGCTCAAGAGGAACGCCGGCGGAGCGAAAGTAGTCGGGTAAGCTGGGCGAGATGGCATACAGTTCGACCCGGGTGCGAGTAATGTTCGAGACGTCCATGGTGATGCCATCGTAGGTGAAGCTGGCGGACCCGGTTATCTCCTCGTTGAACCCCCAAGGCATGTCTGCTCCGTTCTCAAAGGTCACATTGACGGTTGTGGGCTGTATGGCGTGTTCGGAGGTGAAGAGCCAGTGGTTATCTTCGTCGTCGCCCTTCAGTTCGTAGGGGTTCTCGGAGCTGATCTTTATCCGTGAGTTGCCAGCGACCCGGCCGGTAAAGAACCACTCGGATACCACGCCCTTGAGCTGAGAGGGGAAACAACCGACCAAGACAATGAGCTCGGTTTTCTTCTCGAGGTTGGAGCAAGCCGAGACAACCTTGATGTCACCTCCACGGCGATCCCAGAGCTGGACCTGTCGCTTCTTGAAGTGACGATTGGGTTTGCCTTGTCGGGCACGGATGGGGGCGTAGCCGTCCGACAGTTGGATGTTATGGATGATCTGGGTCAGATCCGTCCTCCATTCCTCCTCAGTACGGATAACAGGCATCTTGTGTCGGAAAGTTGGATGACTTTGGTATTTTGGGAGTGTCCAGGGAGTTAAAAAAGAGAAGACGACGGGGATGATGATCAAGATTAAAAGCGATGGACCAGGTAACTAACCCCTTTTAAACTTCTTTGATGACCAGCATCACGAATATCATAACGGGCGCCGGTGTCCGTTTCAGGATCGCCAACATGCGCCTTTCCAGACAGTCTGGAAGAGAGACTTTGCCTACGAACTGTTTGAGCGAACAATACCGCTCAGCTGGTGTGTAGTAGCACTAGGCAAGGGACTAGTCCGCCTCAAAGTGAGAATTATTGAGACGCCAGCCAAACAATTTCAGCCTTTGCATGCATCTAGATGTGCCCACATCGTCGAGTCACAGCTCAGAGTCGCGGAGCTGGAATGCTGAATCGGTGATTAATGGTCTAGGCCTCCATCTTGCGCATGGTGGCGGGCGGCGAACAGGGCTGATGTGAGCTGAGATGGCCAACAACTCACGAGTGGAACAGCCTCAATAGCAAGTAAGGTAGGTCTAGACGATCAGAATGCCGCAAGCTCAGGGCCAATGCCCTCTGCCTATCGATCAAGGCTGAATTTGGCTTGCGCTAGCACCGTGACCAGCCACCACAAGTCCACGAACATCGTGGCATTCTTCGTAGTGCATTAGTATGATGTTGTCCACCGCATCCGTGGACTAGACGGTCCCTAGTCCTTTCCTGCCGTCATCGTTTCCGAGCCAACGGAGACCATCCTCAGTCCAAATCCTCGACCCAAACCTCGGCGTGTGCTCCCCGATGTCGCAATTTTGCAAACCCAATCCGCAACCGAAAGGGCCCCGCGCACCAGCTTGAATTGGCGAGCCATGTCGAAATACGCCAGTCGTACCCAGGCTCTGCGCCGTGGAGACGAGTCGACCGCACGTAGTATATCCTTGACCAGACATCAGACACGGCCGCTCACTGCCCTCTCCTTCACTCCTCTTTTCTACAGCCTCGGGCTGTACGCGCAGTACAGTTTCCGGAAAGTCGACTGCCGGCCCAGCAGCGCCTGCGGCGTGTCGCATTCGACGAGTTGGCCGCGGTCCAAGACAACGACGCGGTCAAACCGCTTGATGTGCGCGAACCGATGGAGGACCGAGATGACGGTCCGCTGGCGCCACTCGCTGTCGATGACCTATTGCATGAAAGCCTCAGTTTTCGCGTCGACGCTGCATGAGGTAAAACACTGTCAGCTTCCGTTCCTGCTAATTCGATCATTGCAGAGTGACAGCTTGGCAGTGTGTATGTACCTGCTCGCCGTTTCGTCCGAAACCAGAATTCTGCTAGGCACCAGCAGAGCCCGCGCAAGGGCCAGCAGGTACTTCTCGCCCTGCGACCACTCGGACGCGACGAGTTTCGTGGCCAATAGTCTCATCCCGGCCCTCCGGGCCCACTCCAATAGCCCGACCTTGCGAATCGCCACCTCAATAGCGTCGTCGGACGTCTGGTCCTGGGGATCGAGGTTGAAGCGGGCGGTGCCGAGCACGAAGAACGGCTCTTGGGGTACGACGTTGATATTGGCGCAGACGTCGCGCCCAGCCAGCGCGGTGATGTCGACGCCGTCGACGGTGATGGTATCTTGGCGCAGATCTGTCAAGCGCAGCAGCGTTATGATGAGCGACGTCTTGCCGCTGCCCGATTCTCCGCAGATGGCAAGCTTCTCGCCGGGGGCGACGCGCAAGCTGATATCTGACAGAACCTGATCGGTATCGGCTTGAAGCGAGTCCATCAGCATCTGACTTTCTACCGAAAAGGATATACTTTGCATAGTACCCTAAGTAGCGTACTGATAGCCAGCAGAAACTTTGTCGAAACAAAGCTCGCCTCGCATAGGCCAGCCCTCAGGCGAGACCGCAGTGTCGGCAGGTTCAGCAGGCATCTCCCTTACAAACTTCCGGATCCGCGCGACTGCTCCGATCGACGTGTCGAGCCTAGTCCAAAACTGAAGCACCTGCGCAAGCATCTCGCTGAACTGCAGCACCAGAACCAACCCGACACCAAGCGCGCCGGCACTAATGCTGCCAGTCAAGGAGGTAGCCATGTGCAACAAGCACAAACCGCTACGGCGCCTACGATCAGGTCCAGCACCAGCGCGAGCCACTGTTGGATGCACAGGAGCATGTAGAACGGCTTCTGAGCGTCATCACGATGGCCGTGTGCTTGTTGTGGAACGCAGCTTGCCAGGTGAAACGAGCGTATAGTGGGTACGCCTCGAACCGTCTCAATAAAGAGCTGATACAGCGGCGCCATGGCTTCGATGTCGAGGAGCCGGAGTTGGCGGGAGGAGCGGAGATAGAACCTCTGGACGACGAATAGCACTGCGGCGAGCACCGGGACCACCGCTGCCATATATTTGCCGACAACACAGAGAATGACTAACTGGGCCAGGCAGTAAGTGGCCGCTGAAGGTCCAAGATTTCTCCTGTTCAGCGAGACGGCATGAAGTGATACAGTATGACAGGAGTATAGTGTTGACGTACATGAAGTGAACACGCTAGCATGCGTGGGGAGCGTCCTGTCGATGAGGTCCATGTCTTGACTGAACCTAATGGCAGACTGCTGTCAGTGACCAGACACAGTCATAAAGCAAACAGAGGTCGTGCCTGTTTGTAATAGAGCCGGTAACGTTATCGGTTCTCTGAAAAAAGGAGAACGGCGCTCTGAACGCAAGCCGGTCAGCAACACTATCATAAAGTGTGTGAAAGGACAACCTAGAACACCCTCCACGTACCCGAGAACGGCCTCCAAGAGCTCCAGGTGCAAGTACAAAGCAGTCAGTGTAATGATCCTAATAAAGAATATCCTTCCAAGTGATAGTCAGTCGATTCAGCGTCCCTGGAGGAGACCGTGGCTTTACGGACCAACACTCGCCCGCCATGCCGAGCGTCCCCAGAGCACTCAAGAGCGCGTATATGCCGAGATACAAGCCAAGTTGGCGGTTAGGCGCATTGCGGTTGGCGTCGGACCATTTCTCGACCCATAGCGCTGATAATGAAGTCAGTGTGATGAGGGATGCTCATGGATGCGGAAGGCATACTCATGTAACTTGAACCGAAGGCCCCAGCAAGGGTGAATACAGCCCAGAGGATCATGTAGCATGTCCCCGCACTTCGACAATCGTACGCGTAGACAGACCAGCTTCCTTGGCGCCGGTGCAGGTCCTGCTGTGTGGAACCCGCTGCCGTCGTGCCCTGGTCGAAGGGAAGGACCTCGGTGGTTGACTGAGTGTTACTTTGACCTTGTCCCTCCGAGCTCCCAGTGCCCTGTTCGTGAGCAAAATCCTCAAACTCGACCAACTGAGCCCTTCGAGACCGAACCCCGTTAAATGAGCCACAATCGGCCACAATGCCATTGTCCAGGACAATGATCCCATCTATGTATGGAAGAAGCCTCCCTAGGTTTCTTATCAGCTGCTGTCTAGTACGAGAGGCTTTGAGCTGGAGGCACTTACTGCTGTGCGTGGCAAGTATGACCGATATACCGGCTTTGCGAAAGTGGCCCTGATAGCTGAACATCTGGGTGGCAATGGTCTTTAACAGCTGTGGGATCCAGGCCGCTTGTTATGTCCTCCAGAATGACGACTGGAAGTCGTGAGTAGACAGCCCTAGCAAGTGCCTGTGTTGGGGTGTCAGTCTCCGATGTCTATCGACCTCTGCTCACCTGCAGAAGTGTAAGTTGCGTGTCACAAACCACTCGTTGCCGCTGTTCTCCGCTCAACGTGAACCGTTGCTCCCTGCAACGGTCAGGTCGCCGGCAGGCAGCCTCTCCATATTGGGTTGGAGTCCGCATGCTGCAATGCGGAACTCATACCATTTTACGTCAAACTCTAGGCCGGTGATGCCCGTAACATTGTGTCGAATAGGATCGTGGAGGATCCAGGGCACCTGCGAGCAAAAGCCAGCTCTGCGGACGTTGAACACGGCAGAGCCCCGCTGTACGACGGTCTCGCCAACCAACGTCTGCAACAATGTTATCTTTCCTGAGCCCACTGGACCGTTGATGGCCGTGAGTCCCAATCTGATCTCTAAGGTGAGGTTGCGCAGTAGTGGTTCGGTAGCCATCTTTCGAGCTGCGATGTAATGAGTGGCCACCGTGCCTTACCAACGAGTATCTGCCATATCAAGAGGTAACGGAACCTCTCCGAGGTGTGTATCTCGGCCTTCCGCAAGCCACATATGATGCCTCCAAACACACACGCAAAACCCAACATCTTGACTGTTCTCATGTCGCCAATCATCTTGGCCGTGACGGCGACTCGTTCCTCAACCCGCTCATTCCACTCCTTTGGGCAACGCCAGACCGCCCCCCAAAGAGTGACGCTCCGGCGACCGACGCTACGGAGAGAAGTTAGCAGGAGGTCTCTCCCAAACTCTGAGGGAACGATCAATCATCGGCGAGTTAGCCGAGTGTGTGACTCAACTGACCAAGGCAAACCACGAGTGGCATGAGGGCAGCATATGACACTTGACGGTCCAAGAGCCAGATTGCAACCGCAACTTCAGGGATCGATGCCCAGAGCTCATGGACAAATTTCAGCCCTTGGACGACGCCGTCCACGTCTGCTCCCATCAGGGCGAGGGCGGCTGAGTCCTGAACGTCCACCGCCTTTAAGGCAGTTGTATGCCGATATATCACGGCGAAGAGGCCTGACCGTACTCTCGTTACCATGCGATACATTTGCCGTCAGTATATCGCTCGCGAGACCTGCGTTTGGAGTAGATTAGCGGAGCGTGACTTATTGGTCGTATGGAAGCATTGAACGACACGGATGCTTCCTGCAATTCCAAGGTTACAAGAACGAAAGCTCCTATGAGAGCATTGCCATGCTGCTCTTGGCTCCTCCTATCCAGGGTCTCGAGGCGGGAGACAATAGTACCAATGAGAAAATGGCTGGCAAAGGACAAATGTCGAGTGAACAAGGCGTGGAGGTACTGCGGAGAAGAAAGGCCACGTGTTGGCGGCAAAGGCAGCGCGGACGAGGCGGTAGCGGCCTGTGGTGCGGAGCCAGCAATCATGCAGCTGTTTATAAGCGGCCTCTTCGCCGAGATGATCGTCAACCTTCGGAACGTCCTCCAGGCCAAGGATCTGCGAGTAGTACCCAACCTGGAAGAAGGGAAGCACCCAGACGAAGAGGCTCCAGTTCCAGACACTGGCAGTCTGCTTTTTCGTGACGTTCTGGTAATAGTGTGACCTCATTAATCTCGTCTTTACGCAAGACTCAGCAGGACGGCCGCCATGGTGCCGAATTTAACGATGTCGCAGCAAGGGAGAACCAGGTGCGTGGGCCAACGAGGACAAATAAAATGTGCAGCATGAAAAGGGCGCACAGCAAGAGCTAGGGATCTCAGATTAGTGACGCGTACGGAGGAGGGCTGTCTCTTGACAAGGTGAGTAGTGTGGGTCGGGATATACACATGCCAGCTTGCATGCCGACAGCCGACGGGAGGCCATCTTCGTTGGCTTCTTCCAGAGCATCAGAAGCCTCCATGGCAAGAGAAAGTAAGGAAAATTGCGGGCGGGCAGCACGATAACAAGCCATCTTCAAACTGCAGCTTGAAGTCGAAAGCACGGCAACCACGTCAACTCGAGGGCCGGATCGGTCATCAGCATCGCGTGGACAGCTGGTCGGCGATGCAAAGAACGCCATCACAGGGCACCAAAAGTGAGAGATGGTTCGGATTTGAGAATGATCACTTGCTCGGTTGGAAAACTGCGACCACGCTCTCTGCGTTCGATTAGGACAGGCGAGATTGGAAAGAAATAGTTAGTGATGATTTGAAGTCAGGGTCATTGAACCATGGACATGATAGCTTTGGGGGACCTCACGGGAGAGCGCAATCATGGATAGTTGCATGATAACTACCTGAATTAAGGTAAAGTACCCTCACCTGGACTCAAGATTCCTTCTAATCATGACGGCCGACCCGGAAACTGCGCGGGCTTTGCGGGTGCGTTTCAGTTCGACGGGGCTCAGCGCTGACTGCTGGGGCCCAATCGAGGTAAATCAGGAAGGTGGGACGGCTTCGATGCCGACGATGCTGCAGAGCTGGGATTCTGGATGTGCCATAGTGTTGCTGTCTAACCTGAAGTCATCAGCTGTTCCAACGAGAGAGCAGCTGTGATTACTTATACTGTTGGAGAGGCTCTTTTCCTCATTCCAGTCGCAGAAGGGCTCGGTGACAAACAAGGCGACCCGCGCGAGCGGCGAACTGACAGAATTGATAGAAATCACCCCTGGAAAATGCCCAATGGTGGTTGAAGCCTTATGGGCACGAAAAATCGGAAACGACAGACAGCCAAGTCCCGCCCTTCTAAACCAGAACTCCTACAGCCTGTGATCCTACCCTTAAAAGGTACACCCGCCGAGTTAAGAGATGCTTCTCGGTCGTCTCGATGATAATTCAGTCCAGACTGTCCAGCAGCTCCGTCCGGTACGTCTCCCTTTGCCCCTTTTCCCCACCGTCAACTACGCAAGATAACCGATCATGCAACGGGGACGCCAACTATTTCTTCCTCAGTCCAATATTTGTTGAGCTCACTTGAAACATGTAACATATTCTCTTCATCACCTCAATATTGTTCCGCGGAAGGGAGTCGCCAAACCTACGCGCTACCCAAGAGCATAGAAACCAGCGGCTGTCGGGATCCAACACGGCGAAGGCGAGAAAGCTGAGCGGCAAAAACGAGGCATGTTCAAAGTCAACAATGTAGAGGCGAGGGCGGCCGTCGGGGTCGGTGGTAAACATGAAGTTCTCGTCATTGAAATCCGTGTAGGAGAAAACAAGCTGTCTCTCGAGAGCGACCTGTGGCTTGCGAGGATCGTTGCGGTATCCGCGTTCCGCAACCCTATTCAGGTGGTCTTGCAACTCCTGGATGTTGGGGTACACGACCGGGGCTGTCTGATCCTTGAAGAGCAGGTGCTTGATGCGGCGTTCCCCGTGCGTGAACGGGCCCGGGGTCGCGCCGGCCGGGACAGGCATGCGGCTCAGTAAATAAATTCCGTCGGCAATCATGCCGTAGTAGACGGAGTTGTTGTGATCCCATGTGCGAACGTCGAACTTCTTGGCAAACTGCTGGACCGGTAGTGCTTCGACAAGCTGCATGATTATGAAGGTCAACCCGCCTTTGGTGAAGATCCGGAAGACCTCGGGAACGTGGATGTGGCAGCTCGGGTTCCTCTGCCGTTCTTGGCGCAGCCAGTCAAAGGCGAGCCTTTGCATGTCTCCCTCGGCCTGCTTCTCGGGGCCACCAAACTTGACGAAAACCACGGGACGGCTGGGCGGGTAGGCAAGGAATGGTGCATAAAGCGTCTTCGCCTGCTGGTAGAGACTATCCTCTGAGATGGTCTGGGCGTACTGCCTTGCGGCGGCATTTGGGTCTGCGGCGCCGCTTGAGGGTGGTAGTGCCGCGCCATTGCCTGGTGCAATGCTTGAGCCCCTTGGGGCATTGCTTGCTGGCATGATGTAGTGTTTGGTTTGCGAGAAGGAAACCTGTCCAACGCTCGAGAGGTTGGTTGCGAAAATGGAAGAGAGATAGAGCGGCACTTGGCAAATATGGAGATGAATGTCAATGAAGATATAGGAGCTCCAAGTGTGTTGTGTCGAATGTCTCAGCAACCGCAATATTGTTTGAAGCAGCAATGATACCAAGCAGAGATAAGAGACGAAACAACTAAGGTGTAGTGAATGAGGATTTATTTAGTGGCTTGGCACGCACGAGGTGACGGGCTCCGGCGGTGTTACAGGCTAAGGTACACCACCCCTTTTTAGAAGCCAACCTCAGTTGCGGCCCGGCGATGCGAGACGAACGGCCATCCGTGACGGCGTAGTCTGTGACTGAGGTGGCTCGAAGCTCACGTCATCTGGCTCGAATCCTAAATGCAATAGCAGGAGTTTCGACCACGATCAATCCTCGCCGCACGCCGTGCGTCTCACCGTCCACTGTCGCGGACCCCAGACAGTCCACAATAAGGTAGGTACTATAGGTAGTGACCAACCGATGTTATCGAACACATGGCGGCGTTCGCTTTGGATTCTGACACAATATATATATATATATATATATGTGTATCGACTTGTCCGAATATTTCAGATGATCTGTCACCCGAAAGATACCTTGGTCTGTGCCCTCACTAATATTACATGCTGAATCAAGACTCGAGGGTCCATCCATGTGAATTACTCTTCGGATCTCTTGCTCTTTGGCCCTCGATTGCGCTTTCTGCTGACTACATCTGATCTTAGCACCGCTGGCTTAGTGATACTGAGCCATGTTTCAAGTTTGGGCCTCATCTTCACGGCGTGTTTGGGCCACAAATCTGAATCCGGATCAGCTGACAAGATGAAAGTCAAAATTCCTTTGACAGCGAGCCGAAGAGGATGGAGAGGTCTCATGCGGTTATATAAGGACCTTAAGCTTGTTGATCATCTCACGATTTCGCTACCAACCTATTCATTCGTCTTCAAGTTCGCACCCAACGCCTACTCCTCTCTTATTTCCTGTTCCACTCCCGGTGAAAGGAACGTTTGCCGGCACACGCCTCGCGTTTAAGAAGAGCTTGACGTCTTCTTTCTCCTCTTCCTCGTCTCCGTCTGTTTCTTTCTCCCTCTTTTTTCCTTCTCCTCGAGTCCTCCTTCCCAAGTAGTAAAACCACCTGTCTGCCCGTCATGTCCGCATACGATGCCGCGGAGAACATCACGGACGAGGCCAACAACGTTTACGACGCGCGCGATGTGCGGAGCGCGAGTCCGACGCGCCTCAAAAATCTGTATGACGCTCTGAGTGTGCGAATTGCACAGTTCACCGTCGAGTTTCTCTACACCAACCACGTCAAGCCCCATGTCGTGTTCAAACTCAACTTTGCCACTCCCATCGGCCCCGGCCGCCGAATCAACTCGGCGCGCGTTTCCATGGAGCTGGGCGAAGGCGACAAGACGGGCGAGCAGGGTCCCGGAGCCTGCCAGATCAAACTCTGCGGCTACACCGGTCGGACCGCGCGCGCCTCGGCCGGCTTCCAGTTCACTCTTCGGGCTAACATGACCCTTGCCCACATGATCCAGTTGATCAATGGCGAGTACGCTCAGCTTCCGAACACGATGAGAACCGACATGAAGAAATTCGAGTTTGTGGACATCAACAACTACTTTGACGGTTGCCGCGACTGGATGTAAGTTGAGGTCTGCCCCCGTCCAGCCCGATTCTCAAGTCACTGACAACAACCCGTTGCAGCGCTCAAGGCTTTGTTCGGGCGCACGCCGCAGGCTTTGTCGACTGGGCCATCAGCGGCATCCTGGGCCCCGACGGACAGCCGATTCAGCGCGAGAGTCTGAGGCCGCGGCCGAACGCGCGCGTGACTCTGATTAACTGGCACGGCGCAGGCTTTCACGACGTCATCGGCAAGTTCTTTGCGCAGCCGCAGGCGGTATCCGGCTCGGCCACGCCCGTTGTCTACTATCATGACCTTCCCGTCGAGAACGGCATCTTCTGGGCGCCGCACTTTCAGCGCTTTGTCACCGACGTGCAGCAGCGGTTTAGACTGCCGTACCGAGTGCCGCAGCCCAACACCGGCGCGGCTGGCACCACAGCCGGCCCGGCCGGGCGTGGCGGTGGCGTTACCGCCGGCCGTGGTGCCCCAGCTGCTGCTGCTGGCCGTGGTGCCGCTCCTCCTGCCACTGGCCGCGGTGCTGCTCCTCCCGCCACTGGTCGTGGCGCTGCTCCTCCTGCTACTGGTCGTGGTGCTGCTCCTCCCCCGACTGGTCGTGGTGCTCCCCCTCCTGCCACGGGGGGTCGTGGTGCTCCCGCAGGCCGTGGTGGCGCTCCTCCTGTGGGGAACGGTCGGCGTGATGGTTAAGTTTCAAGGACGACAGTGAGGCTAAAGTGCTGATCAAGTCCAGACTTTAGGCAGGTACTCTCTGGAAGAGTTCGAGGCCATCGGTGAAAGGTGCTGGACAACCTTCTGCCTGCTACATCTTTGTTTTGTCCCCGGTCTGGCACACGGACATGGAGCATAGGTTAGGTACAATAGAGTTTCTGGGTGCTCTGGAGCAACCTAGGTCATTCGTTTGGTTGTGCAAAGTTGGGGGTTGTTCTTGAGAACTTCTCCCGAGTCCCAAACTACTTACGGTACGTTGCTACCCGGTTAATCCAGAACTTCAGGTCAGTCACGGATTGAAGCTTGGACTGGGCGAGCCTAAACGTCCGTAATTATCAAGAGTGAAAGCCCAAGGCAATTCCCAACGAGTCTGCCCGTTGCTGGTATTGCAGCTTGCTCGGGTCTCGCAATACAGTTCCTTGTGAGGTACATATGTCGATTAAGTAGCCCTTTCGTCTCTCCTTTCCGGCACTCTGTATACGGATAGGGCGAAACTCAGCTTGGGGTGATTTTGGATATACAATAGGAAGCGAAGTAAGCCCGTACCTATTGTAGTCGCTTGTAGTTTCTCGGAAGCTTCCCATTCAAACGGGGTTAGACGTGAGTTCCCGTATCCCTAGTTCATATCAGCAGACGTCAGCCCAGCCGGAGGTCAGACAGCCTTCACGTGGACAAGCGGAGCCAAGATGGGTAGGTACCTGGAGCGTTCAGATGGATGAACTTTCGTTTTCGGCTCCGGATACCTCTACCTACTCGTCATGACTCACAGGCCCGCAATGATGACTTAACGAGATCGCCAGCAGATTAGACGTTGATACTGTACTAATGTGTGCCTGAGGTGTCACTTGGATAAGAAAGAGTGGAATCGATGCACGGTTTCAGAGTTTAAATGCGATATATCATGGGGCGGCCTTTAATAGACTCAAAGCGATTGTTGGCTCGAGTTGCTGGTTGAGTCGTTCCAGGTTGCCACAGCGCCACGCTGCAGATGTGGTTGCTCGGGCAGTTTGCGCCGAAAGCAGTAACAAGGCGCCAAGCCAAGCGGTGGAGCCGATGATGCAGCGGAACCGGGCAGGCAGCTGGCCAGCTTACCCCGGCCCTACGTAATCCGACGCAGGAACGCCTTGCACCTGACCTCTTCGCTTCCCGTCATCTCCGCATCCGTGCCGCTCTCCCAACCTCTCTCCCCATCAACAAACTTCTTGGAACGCAGCCATTCACCAACTTCGCCCTCACCGTCGTTTCCATCGTCGGGTTAACCTGCATCGGCAACAGATTTTATCGCTTCTGTGATCGCACTGCGCTGCCTTCATCGTCGCTCTTTCCCTTCCTCTCGTTTTCCGCAGATTAACAGATAACAGTAGCCCGCCATGAAGGGTGCTCTGCTGACGGCAGCTGTGCTGCTCGGCTCTACCCAGGGCGCGGTCCACAAGATGAAGCTGCAGAAGGTCCCGCTCTCTGAGCAGCTTGTATGTAGTGTCCTTTGTTCTTCGCCTTGGACGACCACTAATTCTCGTTGCGCAGGAGGCCGTTCCAATCGACGTCCAAATCCAGCAGCTCGGCCAGAAGTACATGGGCCGCCCGCGGTCATCCCACGCTGACGCCGTCTTCAACGGCATGGTTGCCGAGGTCAAGGGCAACCACCCGGTCCCAATTTCCAACTTCATGAACGCTCAATGTATGTGCATCATGTCGTCAAAACCCGCCTCAGCCACAAACTGACGCCAGCATAGACTTCTCCGAGATCACCATCGGAACGCCCCCTCAAACCTTCAAGGTGGTGCTGGACACCGGCAGCTCCAACCTGTGGGTTCCGTCCGTCGAGTGCGGCTCGATCGCCTGCTACCTGCACACCAAGTACGATTCATCGGCCTCGTCGACATACAAGAAGAACGGGACGTCGTTCGAAATCCGCTACGGCTCGGGCAGCCTGAGTGGCTTCATCTCTCAGGACACAATGAGCATCGGCGACATCACGATTAAGGGTCAGGACTTTGCCGAGGCCACTAGCGAACCCGGCCTAGCCTTTGCCTTCGGCCGCTTCGATGGCATTCTCGGCCTCGGCTACGACACCATCTCAGTGAACCACATCGTCCCTCCTTTCTACAAGATGATCGAGCAGAAGCTCATTGACGAGCCTGTCTTTGCCTTCTACCTGGCCGACACCGAGGGCGAGTCCGAGGTTGTCTTTGGCGGCGTCGACAAGGACAAGTACAAGGGCAAGATCACCACCATCCCGCTCCGCCGCAAGGCTTATTGGGAGGTCGACTTTGACGCCATCTCATACGGCGACGACACGGCCGAGCTCGAGAACACGGGCATCATCCTGGACACAGGCACCTCGCTGATTGCCCTGCCCAGCCAGCTCGCCGAGATGCTCAACGCCCAAATCGGCGCCAAGAAGAACTATGCCGGCCAGTACGCCATCGACTGCAATAAGCGCGACTCGCTCAAGGACGTCACCTTCAACCTGGCCGGCTACAACTTCACGCTCGGCCCCTATGACTACGTCCTCGAGGTCAGCGGCAGCTGCATTTCGACCTTTATGGGCATGGACTTCCCCGCGCCCACCGGGCCGCTTGCCATTCTGGGCGATGCCTTCCTGCGGAGGTATTACTCCATCTACGACCTCGGTGCCAACACCGTGGGTATCGCTGAGGCCAAGTGAGCAATGGGCGGAAGGCATGGATGGCTGGCAACGATGGAGTTTACGAGAGTTTGGGATTGGGGCCTTGGCACTGTAATCTGTATCTACGCGTTTTGATTTCCTTGAATATCCTCCAGCACCGTTAGTGAGAATGCAATATCTATAGCAGAACATGTCCGGGGCTCTGTGAGTAGTGAGACCGCTGCTCTGTTTGTTCTGTTGTTTGGTGGGATGTTCGACAGTTCAGTGCGGGAGGGTAGAATCACACCGCATATCCGTACCAAGTTCAGTAAGACTCGCGCAATATCAGAAGTCGAGACAGGCAAGAATCCAGTTGAGAGGGTATATTCCCTTTTTCCCATTCTGCGAAGGAGTGGCTTTCTCCCCTTCCCTATTTCCCTACGTATGCATCGCATCTAAGTAGGCTCTACGCTTTGTTATACAATATACCCACCCCCCTACGGCTCTCATTCCCCCATCCTTGCTCCTGTCTCTCTCATTCTCCCTCCTCCACTGCAAGAAGAGATAAGATAAGCAGGTTGGTAGTAAAATGCCTGCCAAAGATAGGTGATCACCCCCCTGGCTCTGAGGTGGGGTCAACTTTTCACTTCTTGAACGTCGCGGTCCGCCCAGACCGCTCGTAGTTCATCTTCCTCGCCCCCACGGGCGCGTCCCCGGCTTTCTTGGCGTACGGGTCAAACGCCTCCTTCTTCTTCTTGCTGCGCTTGCCCTTCTTGCCTTGGCCGTCGGACCCTCCCGTGCCGTTGGCGTCGGTCTGGTCCTTGGGTGCGTGCAGCACGGAGGCGGCCCTGGTGTAGTCGAATGGCTGCTCTTGTTGCTGCTGCTGGTGGTCGTTCTCGTCCTGTTGTACGCCTGGAGAGGAGGTGGAGGTTGTGGTGGGCTGTTTGTCGGCCGCAGCTAATGGGTTGGCTATGGAGGATGAGGCGGCGGCTTGTTGCTGCTGCTGCTCCTGTTCTCGTTGTTCTCGTTTTTGCCGTTTCTTCTCGGCGCGCCTCGCCTGCTTGGCTTCGAGGAGCAATTGCTTCGTCGCCTTTGGATCGCCCTGCTCGCGGAGTTTTTTCGCCTTGCGCCTGGCAGCCTTTTGCAAGTTCCGAACGGCCTCACTGGCTTCCCTTCTCTTCTTCTTGGGTTGGCCCTGTATCGTTTTGTGGGCTGCAGCATCGTCTTCGCTTCCGGCCTCGCCCTCGCCTTCACTATCAGCATCGAGCGAGTCGGGCTCATCGGCTGCCTCACTCTCGTCAGTCTCAACGGCGGAGGCGGATTCATCCTCGGATGCCCGCGTGGTATCCAAATCGACGGCTTTGCGTTTCCGCCCAGATCGGAGGGTGAATCCCTCGTCCTCTTCCACAGGTTCTGGTTCAAGCTCTTGCGCACGAGCGCTAGGCACGGTTTCTGCGGGCTCCGGTAGCGATTCTGTGAACGCGCTGAGGTCAAAAGTGTATAGCGGAATCATCTCCTGGTAATCCATCGGACGAGCCTTGGATGTCCCATCCAACGTCGAGTTGAGCGCCACATCTCCCCATAATTGAGAGCGGGTGCTCTTCATATCATCGATGCTGAGCTGTACAGCTTCCACCTTGGCGCTTGTCTTTACTTGATTCGCAAGCGAGGCCTTGTAAATCCCTTCTGATTGTTGCCTGAAGAACTCCAGCATCGTGGGGCCGTTCGCGCCCCTTGCCCGAGCCTCCTGTATAACCTGAAACAGCTCTTCCAGACGAGTCTTGAGCCCCCGAGTGTTGGACTCCAGCAGACTCCACAGAGCCTTCATGTCGGTCGGCATGATGCGGGCAATGTCGCTCAGCACTTGTTGTGTCATGATGAATACGGGGCTCTCGTCCTCCCGGCGGGCGACGTCGTCCCGCCACTTGTGTACGGCCTTGTACACGGCGAACTGTTCGCCGTTGTACAACGCAGGTGACTTGAGAAGGATGTTGAACCACCCGCGATTGCCGGCACCGGTTTCCGAGTCACAGAATGGGTGCTCGTACCGCTGTAGGGAGACTTCCTTGGACTTCTGAATGACGCGGTCGATCGGGTTCCCGTCGGGGTTGTCTTGAGCAGCAAGTGCGGCGAGCTCGTTCCGCAGCATGTCGTAGATGTACAGGAGGTAGTGTGTATCAGAACGGGCATAGTAGAACATCTCGTCGGGTAGGGGTCTGACGAGTGTGTTAACTGAGCACTGGCAAGCATGCGGTACTTGAGCTTACCGTATCCGCCAATCGGCGAGTTGATATCTTTTGTCTGCATCGAAGTCGACGAACTTCTTCAGCAGAAACGCCAGGCTCTTACCTGCGTAGCCGAGGGTATCGCACGCATAGTAGGTATCGAATAGGCCGACAACATACAGGCCAAGGTCCCGTTGCAGCCAGATGGTGTCCATAAAAGCCCCGTGAAGCACCTGATCTGGTCAGCGACATATCACAACCAGGCATTGCAGGCCAGCTCACCTTGACAATCTTGGGATCCGCAAAGACTTCGTTGAGAACCTCGAGCTTGTGTCTCCATGGCACGAGAGTGTCCACTATCCAGTCCTTCTCCCTCGTGCTGATCTGCATCAGCGACAAAAGGCCGGGGTATGTCCTGTAGTCGTGGTGCTCCAGATCGATGGCAATCTCGGTTACCTTCTTGAGCTCATTCAACATCTCCAAGACGCCCTCGTAAGTGTCAACCCAGATTGCCTCCGTTTTTCCCATCGGCTGATACTTGATAGGTTCGTGCGACTGGTAGACTTGCTCGGGGTATCGCATGTTGGTGATCTCATCCTCGTAGGGGTGTTTGTATCTGCAGGGCTCTGTCAGCACTGGGGCCTCCACTTTCCCGGGAGAACGGAGAATGGAATGCTATGTGCGTACTGAGTATGGCCTCCGGCGTCGGTGAAAGTCGTCAGACTCGCGTCCAATGGGGTCTGGGCATGAGGCTTGGTTGTCAGCAAAGGCTTCCATGGCCCCGACTCGAGGTTGTCCGTCTTTTTCTCGAATGCATTTTGGGGCTTGAGAATGTTGGCACGTTTCAACGACCAGTCCAGTCTGTCGGTGGCCGGCTTGGACCGTTTGAGGTCTCGGCCCTGAAGTATAGTTCGTTAGTAGAGTAGAAGGGGTAGAACCAAAGATAGGGAAGGGCGTACAGATTCAGCAGTCGGCGCATCTTTCCTCTTGATCAAGCCGGTGTACTCGTCCAGGCAGGTATCCGACTTCTCCAGAAGAGTGTCGATGACATCCACGACGCCCTTCCACTGGATTTCGACATCGTCCACATCGTCCAGCCGCGGCTCCCTTTGAGCAGTAAACTTTCCCGCGGACTTGAGAACGCCACTAGCAAGCTGGAGCAGGCGGCCCGTGTTCTGGTCGAGGCGAGTCGCGACCGTGGGATGTACCGTTCGCTGGAATTGGAGATCCTCGTTCGCGAGGGTGTTGACTGCTCGTGTTACCGAGACAAGGGCGGATTGGACAGCGTCCCGCAAATTCTTGAGCTCCTGCGATGAATCCATGGTGATGCCAACGCACGGGTACCTTATTTTGCGCAAGCAGCAGGCCAGGCGGGAGCGCATGCCTTGATGTTGCCCGTTGCCGACGATGGGAATCCGCGATCGCGAACTTTTTAGGAAGCGGCCCGCTTGTCTAAGCCTGCAGTGCAATGCAGGTAGATGCTGCGCACCAATCAGACCGCTATCCTCGATAAGATAGCTGCGGTGGCCCACTCGGTCCCTTGAAGTTGGGCGATGGCTCTCGGCTTGAAGCTCACACTGAAGCTCCTCGCAGGTTTCCAAGCTGGAAGGGCATCTTGATGTCATCGCCAGAAAGAAACAGCAAGAAGCACGATCAGGCCAGGGCAACTCTGCTTCAGCCAATTCTGATTACACCATGTCACAATCACTAGCTCCAGAGTGTAATGAAATCAAAGAGTGAGTAGACTTCCTCTCGTTTTCTCTGGAGAATATATTGATGGTAGTATTGTAGGCGATACGACACCTGCTTTCTAAAATGGTACAGCGAAAGTGAGTTCACACTTACTAATCCCCCCTTGTGACATCAAGCACTCAAGCTTCGAGCAGAATACCTACGCGGGATTGGCACGACAGACAACAATGAATGTGCGGGCTTGTTCAAGGAGTACAGCACATGCTTGCAAGTAAGGCGCAGAATGGGCAACATGAGTGAATACCCTGTCAGCGCTGATGAGTCTGTATCCATAGGGAGCATTGAAGGAACGCGGAATAGACAAATTGCTTGAAGAAGCCCGGGAAGACAATAAGGAAAACGATACAGCGCTGATGGGGAAAAAGAAGTGTAAGTTATCTGAGACTCGTGGATTACGCCAACGCTAACACGGTCTGTTTCTTGCAGAAAACGTGGTTATGACACAACAATTTGAGCTCTTGTAACTGTAACCAGGCCCTTCACTCTGAATCAAGTATACATAAGCTGGTACAGTCTTGACCTTACCTGAACGGCTAACGCACCAAGGTAACGGATAAGCAGAGTGACAACCTGCTGGTGGTCGAAGTGCTATTCATCGAGCTCAGCACGACTCGAACTTGGGGCCGAGCAATATACAGCCTCGCAAGGGAGCGTGGGGAGCGAGGTTTGAAATGGCTAGCATCGATGGGGGGTATCATTCCCCATATCATTTCAACTGAATACCTGCCCGATTATATAAAGTATCTCCATTCGTCGTCCTGCCGCCTTGCTCCGGAGTCCAACCGCCGTGAAAGCTGCCTTCGCCATGGAGCTATAGTGTAATGGTTGGAAGGCAATAGGAGGCCCAGTCGTCCACCACCTCAGTCATGTCCCTCGCCATCCTGATCCTTAACATAAGTCCGTATCAAAGAACAACAGGAGCCGTCGTCGCAGCAAAGTGCCGAATGTCGACAGCCGTTCTCATTGCAGCTTTAAATATGGTTACGTCAGATCGGCTTGAACATGTCATGTGGCGGAGTCGGCGAGGCCACTCTGCCCATTCTCCGTGTCGCAAAGGCGATGAAGATCAAGTACTCTGCGAGCATTGTTGGAATTCTTGATGGTGCAGGACAGTGAGGAATTCTTGAACGGCCATTTGTATGTGCAGTCAAAGGTTTGCGAGAGAAAAAAGACTGGTTTGAACTTTGAGCCATGTGGCTTGGTAGTAACAGAGATCATGGCTTCATGCTGATGCAGTTTGATGGCTACCCACAGCCAAACCCAAGGCAGTAGCACTTCGTCAAATCTCATGCGCTCCTGAGCTTGGAGGAAAAGTGTGACGACCTGAACTGGAATCAAATGCTCATTGGAGGGAAGAAGGGCAATGGTTGCAGGGTTGAGGTCGACCAAGCTCTGTGCCGAACCTATTGTTAACCTGAAGGAAGGTGTGCTCGTTCATCAACTGGGAAGATGCTAAGAACCTAAACCTTAGTTTTCGTCGAAGTGGAGGAGTTTGTTGGAATGATAGCCACCAAAGCATCCTGAATGTCGTTGTCGGCATCCGACCATGTGCTAAAACGCCAATAGAAACCTCCAATTTGAGCTCCTTCTGACGGAGTGCGTACTGCGTTCATAAGGTACCAAGAGGTATATCGCTCGGTTTGGAATCTAGCCTTAGGAAACATGGAACAAAGGTGTGACACGTCCAAAAGGAACAAAAGGAAAAGAGAAAAAACTGAATAGAATATAGTTTCCTTCCCACAGAAGTTACAGTGATTGTGCCTGAATCATGGTCGGTTGGGCTTTATAATGTCTAGTCAATCGCAGTTCTCGAACGGAAACGTTGATGCCCCATCCTTTAGACTAGATCATGTCATCCATTCATTGGCCCTTGCCCCTCAGCTGTCGACTGACGAGTCGTGTCATCTATGGAGCACCTCCTTCCTATAGTGTTCCTGCGAAGGAGTGGTGAACCTTGTCGTAGATAAGGTAGTTGGATAACGTGATCGATGCAGACGGATGATGCCAGTGGGTATCGGTGTGAGAGCTGTCGACAATACAGACATTGCTAAACTTGGAGTAGCCGGCGCCTGCCGAAATGCCGACTGTCGTTATTTATGGAGGGGCCAGACGGTTCTAATAGCTTGAAGTAACCCTTTGACGTCACAAGGCTCGGACTTCATTGTCCTGGGCTGTGGGTTACTTCGTTTTCGATGACGGCTGCGGAGATAATGCAAGGAGTTATGGTCGGTCATGTTTCACGTTTCAATTCCAATTGGGGCCCGCAGGTGAGTGTTATGCAAGGGAGCTCTTACTGGGCCGTCTATGTTATTGTCCTGTTCTCGGATTTAAAGCATAGAAGCCGTTAGAAAGCCTGTGACAATGGAACCGGCATTGCTCAATGAAGGCAGCCAATGTCCGATCCAACGTTAGACGTCCCGTAGGGGGTATAAAAGTGACAGTCTGGTGACGCACTCCAACCCAGCCTCAACAATGAAGGCCATCTTGATTGAAGCAGTGCAGGTTTGACAAATCGACTGAAGCACCAACCCAAAGCTCTCACCAATATGCTCAACCTCCTGCCCCTGGCGCCGCCCGCACAAGGCCCCCTAGCCCGCTACCGTCTTCTCTCTCCCACAGCCTCGATTCGCGTCAGCCCGCTATGTCTCGGGGGCATGAGCTTGGGCGATGCCTGGAAAGACTTCCGTTAGTCCCCATTCCTGCCAAAATCTTAATTGCTTGCAATGTTGTTGGCTAAGGCCGGTTGATAGTGGGCCCGTGTGACGAGAAGACCACCGAGGAGATCCTCGACTACTTCTTCGAGCAGGGAGGCAACTTCATCGACACGTCCAACAACTACCAGTTCGAAGAGTCCGAGACGCGCATCGGCAACTGGATGAGGAAGCGCAACAACCGCGACCAGATGGTGATTGCGACCAAGTACACCACCTGCTACATGGGCGTCGACGCCGGCATGACGCCCAAGCAGCACATCCTCGTCAACTACACCGGCAACGGCTCCAAGAGCATGCGCTTGTCGGTCGAGGCCAGCCTCAAAAAGCTGCAAACCGACTACATCGATCTGGTATGTCCTGCTCGCTTCCATCCTCAAAGGGTAAAGTTAATAAATAAAACTCTGACAATCCTTTCCCCGTCAGCTTTACGTGCACTGGTGGGACTTCTCGGCGTCGATCCCCGAGCTGATGCAGTCACTCAACCACCTGGTGGCCGCGGGCAAGGTGCTCTACCTCGGCGTCTCGGACACGCCAGCTTGGGTGGTCAGCAAGGCGAACGAGTACGCCCGCTGCCATGGGCTGCGCCAGTTCTCGGTCTACCAGGGCCGGTGGTCGGCCGCGGCCCGCGATTTCGAGCGTGACATCATCCCCATGTGCCGTGCCGAGGGCATGGCGCTGGCCCCCTGGGGCGCTCTGGGGGCTGGCAAGTTCAAGACCGAGGCGCAGCGGCAGACGGCCAAGAAGGAAGGCCGCGCCGTCGAGGCGTCGCCGGCCGAGATCCAAGTCAGCCGGGCGCTCGAGGCGGTGGCCCAGCGTAAGAACACGCTCGTCACCAGCGTCGCGCTGGCCTATGTCTCCGCGAAGGCGCCGTATGTGTTCCCCATTGTCGGGTGCCGCACCCTGGACCACCTCAAGGGCAACATCGAGGCGCTCTACCTCAAGCTCTCGAAGGAGGACATCGATGAGATAGAGAGCGCAGCGCCGTTTGATCTTGGATTTCCCCTAACCCTCCTCTACGGGGGTAACAAGGCACCCGAGGTCCCTGGCGCGGTTTGGGTTCTGGCCATGGGCGGCACGCTAGATCATGTCCCGGAGTCAAAGCCTTTTGCGAAGGAGTAGGCGGAAATGACGGTCAGAATCAAGCCTAGGGTAGAGAAATGATATTGAATTGCCAGTCAGTAAAGATCAAGGAACATGCAAGATCCAAGCGCTCGGGTGATCCTCAATTTCTCCATAACAGGAAGAGCCTCAAAGACGCCTTTTCAAGCTTTGATATAACCACCTCGCCCTGAAGGGGTCCAAGCTTGCACTCGTCCCCTCGTGGGGCCCACGACGATGGAGTGCGTCGGCATAGGAGTTGGCACACACAATTGGCGTGCGAGGGGCGACAGCGACATGGCTTCCAATGCTGAGGAGAAGCAGAACGGCCGCCGTGGAGTAACTTAATAGTAGGGTGCCGGGCTGTCGGACTGCTAGCCGGAGCGAGTGGTGCAGCCCCTGGTTTCCTCGTTTCCTTAACGGTACTATTTGATGTTTTATCTCTAAGGCTGAATGACAATAAGTCAGATCCACCAGAATTAAATCAGAGCAGATCAACGCAACACAGAGCAGTTCATCGCCGTCTGATAGAATAAAAAATGCTTTCTGTTTGATTTATTCACGTAACAACACTTGCGAGGCTCGTGAAAAAAGGGTGGGGCAATAAATTCCACGATGTGGGACAAAAGGACATGTAATCCGTAGCATGGACCATATCACCTGCGGAGTACCCCTCAACCCCACATCCTCACCAAAGCTTCACCGACAACCACCCAAACCCCGCCATCGAAGTTTTGGGGTGATGTCCCGATGTCCCACAGACAATTCCCACCAACCCCCACGTCATATTAGGTGACCCGGGTTGACAACTGCTCGTGATCCTCCCTGGCACAATATGTAAGGGCTTCCTTTACAATGGCCAGCAAAGACAAGGAAGCAGCCTCGAGGTATTAGACTTCTCACCTATGCTCACTTCCCTTGCGAATATCGCGAAACTCTCGAGCTGACACCCGGCCCAACACACAGCGACGCTACGCCCTCCAACCCCCGTGGCATTCCGTACGCGCCGTTTGTCGACAAGGTTGAGGACTATGTCTCGTCACGGGCCGACGTCGAGCCGACGTTGCGGCGGTTTCAGGAGATGATTGCGTGAGCTCCCTCCTCCTCAACTCACACAACAACAAATGGAATTGGGCAGTATCCGACTGACCCTTTGAGCTGCGCGACCTTAGGAAGTACCAATTTATGGAACAGAACCTGCAGCGGAGAGTGGCCGGGTTGAAGGACAAGATGCCTGACATCAGGAAAACATTGGATACTGTCCGGTTTCTAAAGCTGCGGACGGTAAGGCGCGCGGGAAAACAATCCCATGCGGACCTGGCAGGGTGTGCTGACGGAATCCAAATGCGCCAGTCCGACTCAGATCCCATCGAGACCACCTTCGAGCTGAACGACACCCTCTATGCAAAGGCCGAGATACCGCCCACCGATGAGGTCTACCTGTGGCTTGGGGTAGGGTTTTTTATCCATTTTCGGCTGGTGGCGGGGGGCTGATGGCTAACACGTGGAAGGCCAACGTGATGCTATCATATCCGATCGATGAGGCGGAGACGCTCCTTGAGTCGAAGCTACAGGCGGCCAAGCAGAGCCTGTCAAACTGCGAAGAGGATTTGGATTTTCTGCGGGAACAAATTACGGTAATGCGATGCCCTTTCGAACATGGAGTGGGAGGATTGCTAATGCCGGTTAGACCATGGAGGTGGCGGTGGCCCGAGTATACAATTGGGATGTCGTGCAAAAGCGTAAAGAGAAGGAGGAAGAAGAGAAGGGGACGGGGAAGAATACCGAGGCCGCCTCTTGAAGCTCAGCAGTCGAGGGAGACACGAAACGGCCACCACATAAGCCTGGATACCCGGATTCGGCTGAGGTCAGCATGCGGTGACCCAAGGTCTTCATTATGAAACCAGTAGCGTAAGGCCACTTGTCTCGAACCGCTTTGCTGTCTTGCCCTGTTCAGGAGCCGGGAACGGGATGAGCGAATCGGCAAGTGTGTTCGATGGCAGACGCACCGTTGAGAGCAAAGGCAAGCCATGGCGATATGATGGCGCCGATTCGGGCAACATCCCAGAGAAAGGAGACGACGAGGGATCTGCCGAACTAGTATACCGACTGCCACATTTGAGGAATAGCGTTGCCTGCGTAATGAACACCAGCAACATATTTATGGGTGAACCTCTACGTGTGACAGATGTGCAGTTGGACGAGCAGCTGAGGGCGGCAGAGGCGGTCCAGGTTCAGCTGCGCCCCGGTCCGCAACCCGCCGTGTTGTTGCGGATAGGCCGGAAGCGAGGTGAACCAAACTGCTTGAATCCGGCAGAAGCTCTTAGAAGACAATACACCGATCATCTACATAGTAGATCCACCTCACTGGGTGAAGTGCATTAGATGTTGGCCAACACTGGGCTCAGGGCCATCTTAGAAAATGGGGGCACCTGTGACTCGATCAGGTGGGGAGCCCGAGGGTCTGGCCCACAGCGGTGCGGGGCTTAACGCTTGAGTATGGTGGAGATGACGGAGTTGGTTGACCGCACTTTCAGCCAACGCCTCCCGTCAGGCGTTTCCCGGACACACATAACGAAAACTCAACACCGCGGGGCTCCTTAAGTACCTGTATTTCAGGCCGTTTCGTCAACATCCGGACCTGTTCACGTTTGGGTTCCCTACCACGAACCACTGCTGGAGGTCTCCTTGCCCGGTAACCCACACCTTCGCACGATCCCTCTGCAGTCACAGCGGCATTCTTTCCCTCTTTTGTTGGCGACCGTCTCCCCCAGGCGCTACTCCCCCGACACCAGAGCCAATACTTCGTCTACCGTCCTCTCTTCCATCGAACAACCAGACACCATGGCTGCCCCACCTGCACCCTCACCCTTGGAGCTCGACCCCAAGTACGATGACTACGATTACCCGACGACGGCGCCAGTGCCCCAGAATGGCCATCCCGGCTACCTGACGGCGCAACAGCAGGCCCAGGTGCACCAGCTGCGGATGGCGCTCGAGGCCGAGGGCTACACCGAGCGTCTCGACACCTTGACACTGGTACGCCAGGCAAACTGTTTTCGAAAGATACGAAAGGGGGATGGAACGTGTTACGCTGACAGACGAGGCAAGCTGCGGTTCCTGCGCGCTCGCAAGTTCGATGTCGAGGCTGCCAAGAAGATGTAAGTACAATTGGATGAAGGGAAAGGCTGCGTCGCCCCTCGGGAATACTGACCCGACTCAAGGTTCATCGACTGCGAAAAGTGGCGGAAAGAAATTCACCTCGACGAGACGCTGCCGACGTGGGAGTATCCCGAGAAGGAGGAAGTCTTCAAGTGGTACCCGCAGTACTACCACAAAACCGACAAGGTACCGCTCAGCGCATTTGCCCAACTTTGGATCCGGGAAACAACACACTTTTCCTGACCCTGCTGGCTAACAGTGTCCTCACAGGACGGCCGCCCCGTCTACATCGAGCAGCTCGGCGGGATCGACCTGAACGCCATGTACAAGATCACGACAGCCGAGCGGATGCTGACGAACCTGGCGGTCGAGTACGAGCGCGTGGCGGACCCGCGGCTGCCGGCGTGCAGCCGCAAGGCCGGGGTGCTTCTCGAGACGTGCTGCACCATCATGGACCTCAAGGGCGTCGGGCTCACCAAGGCGCCCCAGGTCTACGGTTACGTCAAGCAGGCGAGCGCCATGAGCCAAAACTATTACCCGGAGCGGCTCGGCCGGCTGTACCTGATCAACGCCCCCTGGGGTTTCAGCACCGTCTGGGGCGTCGTCAAGGGCTGGCTGGACCCCGTGACGGTGCAAAAGATCCACGTGCTAGGCAGCGGCTACCAGAAGGAGCTGCTCGCCCAAGTGCCCGCCGAGAACTTGCCCAAGCAGTTTGGCGGCAAGTGCGAGTGCCCCGGGGGCTGCGAGATGAGCGACATGGGCCCGTGGCGCGAGAAGGAGTGGGCCAGGCCCCCTAAGTGGGAGAGGAAGAAGCAGGAGGGCAGCGCCATCCCGACGGAGGTTTCCACGATCCAGAAGGGCGCTGACGCCGACGCTGGTACGCCCGCGGTTGCAGGGGCCACGAATGAGGCCAAGACCGGTGCCGCCCCGGCTGCTGCGTAAGTTGCAGGTTGGTGGGCGCGAGTTGGAGCGGGGAGTTGGATGGTGGCCGGACTCTTGAGTCATGCTTCTTGACGGATAGCTCGTGCGGCGCGGCGCTGTACATGCAGTTGAGGGAGGAACCCAATACGTTGCCGTTTCTGTGCGGGTGTGAATCTGGGTACCCTTGGACCCCCGTTTGTGACCTCAATCGGTAATATCTTGGAATCATAGCATGGATACACAATAGACGCCCTTTGCATGCTTTGTCCGGCCGTTTACCTCGGATGAAACCCCAAAACCAATATGAAGACGCGAAAATGAAGGATCTAACCCCCCCCCCCCCCAAACCCACCGACTTTCCATTCCCCATCCTCAAAACCCTCACCTCCCACCGCTGACATACCCCGCCGCAACTCTGGCCCGCTCCATCTTAGCCACCGCCGCCGGCATATCCCTCTTCAACCGCCCCAGCCCCGCGACTGCCTCATCCCACCTCCCCTCTACGTCCTCCTGCCTCTCGAGGGGGCCCATGCCTTCCAGCGCCTTCTTCCCGCTGACGCTCCCTTCCTCCGCGACGCGCTCGCAGACTAGCTTTAGAAGCTCCTCGTCGGCATCGATGCCGGCGCGCGTCGCATCCGACCAACGCGCCGCCGTGGCCTGCGGCGCGCGCCGCTTTAGCAAGGCGATGGACCGCAGCAAGTCTTCTTCCTCCGAGATGAGCTGCTCGATGCGGTCGCGCTTGCGCGGGTCGAAGGGTTCGTATTCGTAGTGAACTCGGGGTTGTCGTTGTTGTGTGGCTGGGTCACGGTCGTTGGAGGAGGAGGGGGTCAAGAGGGCAGCGGGGTTGGATAAGGGGAGTCCGTTGATTGTTAGGTTCGGAGCGGCGAGGGTGAAGGTTTTGAGGATGTACTTGTTCGGAATTGTACCTTTAGTCCAAGTTCCCGTTTATCCAGTAGAAGAAGAGATGTGTTGTTTATGGGTGTGGGTGGGTGGTGGCGGGTGGAGGGGGTATAGATAGAAGAATGGGAACAGGGCAAAGAAACGTACATCATTGACGAGTTGCTCGATGCGGTTGCGCAGCTCGTCTTCCTGCCCGTCGGGCAGGTTATCTACGGGCGGAAAGGCCGTGTTGATGCTGTCTGCGGCGGCGCGGCGGACGTTGTCTACTAGGTACGTCAGGTCCTCGGGAGACTGCAGCTCGATGCGCCGGTGCGCGGCGGGGTCCATCTTGCTGTCCTTGTGTTGTTGGGCTGGACGACTGAGTCAGTAAAGGTGCCCTTGAGCCCGATATAGAACTCGTTGTTAGTTTGATGGGTATTCTTTGTTTCGCCCATCGCCATGTCGGTCCCGCCAAAACAATCACAGGCTCGCGCCGAATAGGCTCTTATCGATAACGAATCGGTAGTGACGGAATCTCATGCTAGGCCGAGGCGATTTGGGCTCCGTTGCCGGCCTCCGGGACCGGCCCGCAGTTGCCAGCCTCCCAATTTACGACAAACTTATAATAGTTACGCAAATCACTGACAGTTCGACACCCTCCGCAGTACTCGTAACTAAGTCATGTGCTATTGGCCGTTCAACCAACCGCCTGACACCCAAGAGAGTAATGGTTGCCGGAGACAAACAACACAAGGCCGCTCGGTAAGGGCGTGTCGAACGGCGACCAGCTGCAGACTCCCTGTTAGAGTACCTGTCTGTCGGCGAGTCCCCGGTACACTTGCAACTAAGTGTAGTGTTCCGTGGGAAAAACCAGTCATGATTCAAAGATCAATTCTGGTGTCAATAAAGTACCTCAAAAGCAAAGACTGCCAATCCCGTACATGACCATCCGAACGCCGTGTAATACCCGCCAACAGCTGCAGACTCGGGGAGATGGCATGCGAGCATACGGTCCCTGAAGTGTGCAGACTAAACCATAAATAGGAGATGAGACGCCCAAAATCCAACAACACCTTGAATAGCAATGATGTACCGTGTGCCTGTGCTCACAAATGACTCCAACTTTTGTGTTCAACTCTGGTGGTAGTAGGTACTTCAAACCCTCGGAAACAGTGTCACCGGTCTTGGGGCTGCCGGTGAAGAGATCCACCCCTAGGTCCATGAGAAGCTTGTGTTCTGGATAGACTGGCTCCAGGTCTTGGTCTCCCGCCGGAGGTCAGGACCGCCAGAAAACATGGCGGAACAGCAGTCGGCTCTCCGCCGCAGCGACTCATGCCTTCCGGCCAACGGTTCTGGTAACAAGTACACCGGTCTAGGAAGGATTCCGCGGCAAGCTGCGATGGTGTACATCCATGTCATCGCCTCCCATTTCGCAGAGTTCGTGTCATTTGTTCATTGCGGAAGCATTTTCCTGATCTCCTCGTCGCTCAGGTGGATTTCGTGCACCGGGTCGCGGCGCTGTTCGAGCGGCACATACTCGTAATCGCAGAAGGACGGAACGAAGATTTCGGGATTCCATATGAAGCCTTGGCCAGAGGCGAGGTAGGTAACCTGATACGACCAGCGTCAGCAGTCATGTTGCAGCGTACTGGACAGCACAGCGTCAGGACACTGTCACAGGAAAGCTTACCAGGCGTATGGGGCCTTCGGGGTCGTCACCGATCTTGATGGTGGTACATTCCTGCTGGGTGAAGGCCGAGCCTGGCAGGTAAGCGCGTTAGCCTTGGGAAGTGCATAGACCAAAACGATCATGGGGACCACTCACTCAGTAGGCTTGGTCGTCTCGCGTGCAAAAGCCTTTGTTTCTGCGGAGCCCGAGATGGCGAGTTGGGTGACGGCTCCGGGGAGCTCGGAGAGCTCGAGTAGGACGAGGGCGAGGATCCGGCCTCGGGGTGGACCGCGCGGTGGCGCTGCTCGGGGATAATGATGGACGCGGAAGTGTTCTCCATTGGTGGTGATTACTGAGGGATGTGGTCCAGATAGCTTCACAAGGATGAGTGGCGGTGGGCGATAGGGACTTATGCTGCTGCTGCTGCCGAAGAGACGTGCAGAGCGGCAGAGGAGGAAGGGACCATTAATTCAAGTCGGGAGGAATGGAGGCCCCAACGACAGCCGCACGGAAGATGAGGCAATCTGGAGAATCTGAGGAAGAAGGCCGTGAAAAAGGGAAGCAGATGGTCGGGTGCCAACTGACGATGGGCAGGTGGAGAGAAAGGCAGCCACCTCGCCGGCCGGCAGCTAACTCATATCGAGTGACTTAAGACCGACCGGGTGTAGCTGATGGGGGAGTGACAAGGCACCCAGCCGTTGGAGCCAGTTACAGCCAATTGCATCAATCACCACATGGCACCTGCCGGACAGCCATGTTCTTGGACCCTTGCGCATGGCACGGCCGCCCCGTTGGTTGCCTCGCTGGGTGGCTGTTACGTAGACAGCACCTCAGTCTAGAAATGCGCAGGCCGCTTGCATTATTCCGTAGGTATCAACAGTATAGGTAATTCCCACGGCATCCAATACCTTATGGAACCCCAAGCTCAATCGCCATGACGAGACCAGCGCAGATAAGAAGCAACGCGAAAACGATCTGGGACATGACTTCCATGCTTGGCCATCAAGGTCGGGCGGATGTGGAGCACCTGTTGTTGACCCTGCAAGCCTCCTTCGGCTCGTGAGATCAAGTCCTACTTTTCACGTTGTCTTTATCTACCAAGCGGGCATCTATTATAGATTAAAATTCACAAGACTAGCACGTTTCCTCTTGCATAATCATTCCCGAAGTTGATGCTGACCCCCAGGTTGTCTTGGAATGTGAATCATCACACATTGACCCCAGGGAAGTGGGGGTGGTGGGTCTCTGGTGGGTCGCCGTCTGTTCCAGCACGAGCCACTCGCCGCCTCGCCTGAGTCTGACAGCCGAAGCTTGGGCCTATTGGTGTGGGTCAGCCTCAGGCTGCAACGACGACGTTGGTGCCAAGACCAGAGATGGGCTGCACGCGGCACGAGGCGAAAAGGAAGAACATGGCCGAAGCAACTTCAGCACCAAACATCGAACCAGCGAACCAACAACTGCAACACCACCCATCACTGTCGTCATCAGCAGCAAAGCCGGCATACTTTTGTACATCGACCCGAGCCCTCCCGACCGTCCCACCTGCCCTGTTTTCCGTTAATTAGTACCGATTCAAACCTGAGTCCGGCGTTGAAAATGGGCGACGTCCTCGTCGAGAAAGCAGCCAACGATGTCCAGCCCGTAAAGAAGGTCGTGCCATCGACCATCCCAAGCATTGAGAACTTTGAGGGCGTACCAGTAGAAGGCAGCGATGAGTATGCGACCCTGAAGCGGCTTCAACGGCAGCTCGAGTACATCCAGCTGCAGGAGGAGTACATCAAGGACGAGCAGAGGAGCCTGAAGCGGGAGCTGGTGCGGGCCCAGGAGGAGATCAAGCGCATTCAGAGTGTTCCACTGGTCATCGGCCAGTTCATGGAGGCCATTGATCAAAAGTCGGTCGTCCATCTGCTTGCAAAGTTGCGGGGTTGCAGCGCTCAGAACACCTAGCTAACATGACACGCAGCACCGGCATCGTCCAGTCAAGCACCGGGTCCAACTACGTCGTCCGCATCTTATCGACGCTCGACCGCGAGCTTCTCAAGCCGTCTTCTTCAGTCGCCCTGCACCGCCACTCCAATGCCCTGGTCGACATCCTCCCGCCCGAGGCCGACTCCTCCATCGCCATGCTCGGCGCCGACGAGAAGCCCGACGTGACGTATGCCGACGTCGGCGGCCTGGACATGCAGAAGCAAGAAATTCGCGAGGCCGTCGAGCTGCCCCTGACACACTTTGACCTCTACAAGCAGATCGGCATCGACCCCCCGCGCGGCGTGCTCCTCTACGGGCCGCCCGGAACAGGCAAGACGATGCTGGTCAAAGCAGTCGCCAACTCAACAACAGCCAATTTCATCCGCGTCGTCGGCTCTGAGTTCGTGCAGAAGTACCTCGGCGAGGGCCCGCGCATGGTGCGCGACGTGTTCCGCATGGCGCGCGAGAACGCGCCGGCCATCATCTTCATCGACGAGATCGACGCCATCGCGACCAAGCGGTTCGACGCGCAGACGGGCGCCGACCGCGAGGTGCAGCGCATTCTCCTCGAGCTGCTCAACCAGATGGACGGCTTCGACCAGACGTCCAACGTCAAGGTCATCATGGCCACCAACCGCGCCGACACGCTAGACCCGGCGCTGCTGCGGCCCGGGCGCCTCGACCGCAAGATCGAGTTCCCATCGCTGCGCGACCGCCGCGAGCGCCGCCTCATTTTCACCACCATCGCCAGCAAGATGAGCCTGGCGCCCGAGGTCGACCTTGACAGCCTCATTGTGCGCAACGACCCGCTCAGCGGTGCCGTCATTGCCGCCATCATGCAGGAGGCCGGTCTGCGCGCCGTGCGCAAGAACAGGTACAACATCATCCAGGCCGACCTCGAGGATGCGTATAGCAGCCAGGTCAAGGGGACGACCGACGAGAACAAGTTTGATTTCTACAAATAGGCGCGAGGTTCGAGACGGGGATGGTGGTTGAGGCGGAGATGAAGAAGGGGTAGGGGAGCCAAAAGTCGTGGGTTGGGGTGGTGGGTGATGGGGGTTTGGTATGTACGATGACTACGGTAGCTGCGATAGAAGGCACCAGGTTACCGTCCAACGCGTGTCCTTCGCGTGGAGTCGAGAACATGCGGACTCGTGAGCCGAGACGCTGTTGTAGCCTTTCCTTTTGCCCGGACATGTATGGGGGGACTGAATCAAACAAACAGACACGACATTGTCCCAACCAAGTAATCCGAGAAACCAGCTCTCATTATCCATTCACATGTCACATCTTGTCCTTCCATCCATCTATGTATGCATCCTTCAAACTTTATCCTACACAACCACCGAGGCTCTTTCCTCGGTCCCTGACCTGGGCCGTTCCGCCGCGACCACCCCATTGCCGTCCCCAAGTCTAACATCGTAAGCTGTCAACAGCTGATACCTAGTACCGCCGTTATAATAATAGTACAGAAAAAACGTAAAATCACTCGCTGACTTGCTCGCTGTTAACGGCCCCACAGAGTAGCTCTAAGCCCTCCACCTTCTCTCCTCTGCTTTAATACTTCAGAACGTTTCCCCAAGACCACAAACTCCCCAACCCCGGTCATCCCGCTCCCGATACCTGTTCACCGTCATCGTAGTGGGGGGACATCACGCCCCCAAGAAAAAGAAATAGCAGAAGAAAAGACCGGGTATATCCTCCGCTGCTGAGGAAAGGATGCAGATGCCGAATGCTGAATGCCGAATGCAGTGCAATTCCCCATTCACATCCCTCTTTCATTTCCTTTTCCGTTGATCTCCTTTCCGTTCATTTCCTTCGCAGTTTATTTCATTAAGCCGTCTATGAAAATGTCCGTTCCTCGTATATTCTTTCCGCTTACCCACCCTCCTCTCCAATCCGTTCGCCTGAGTCCAGTGTTGGAAGTGTTGTTGTTGAGAGCGTTGGTTGGTAGGTTGGCTGGTGTCGTGTGTATGTACATGTTGCATGACGAGAAATGCTTGCCGGTTCCGGTCGGGGTTGGCGTGATATGTTCGTCGTTGTTCATTACCCATTATCGCCTTCCCTGTCTTGGAGGACAGGTCAGGATTTTGAAGTGGCTGAGGCTGCGACCCCAGCTGGCTGGCAGGGCGTGGTGCTGAAGGGTCTCTCTTCGAAAGCGGGTGGCAGTCGGCTTCGATAAGAGAGATTGGGTGGCCGGGGTTATCGTCTACTGTAATGTTAAACGCAGATAACACCGCCAAGCTGCCCCCTTGATGTATGGGAGGGCTGCCGCAAGAATCGGGGTAACACCCAGAGAATTATGTTTATCTTGCAGCTCGCCGACCTCACGACCCAACCATGACGCCAATTTCGAGCAGCAGCCTGACAAACTTGGCATGCAGCTCGATAAAGAAATCCGGCATACCGACCAGCTCCGCCAGCCCGCGCTGCTTCAGCGCGACGCCGGACCCGCCGAAGCCGCCGCCCATGCGCCTCGACAAGCCGCCCATGCCGCCCATCAGGAAGCTGCTGCCACTAGTACTGCCTCCGCTAGACATTGGCGCTGATGGGGCAGCCGGCTCGGACTGGAAGCTACCGTAGCCCGCGCCGGGAACGACGGGGCTGCTCGCCGAAGAGCCGGGACCCGACGTCGTCTCTGCCAGGGCGCGCTCGGCTTCGGCCTCGGCAAGCTCCTGGATCCAAGAGGCCATGTCGCGGAAGGCGGCCGAGAGAAACGTAAAAGTCTTGACGGCGGTCGGCTCCGGATGCGTGCTGAGGGCCAAGAAGGCGTAGACGCGCTTGTGGCCTCGGGCGTGGACGTCGGGAACGCGGAAGATGTAGGCCGTCGTGTAGCCAACTTTTTTGTCGCCGAAGAAAATGGAGCCGCCCGATGCCGCGGCCCCGATGCTGTGTGTCGTTACATATGGCGGGCTATTCGGGGAGCCCATTGGCGTGGGCATGGCGGCGCCAGCTGAGGGAGGGCTCGTGGCAGGCGTACGAGGGAGGGTTTCGAGTGACAAGGTGCGCAGACACGAGGCGCGGATCAAGGAGAAGGATGCCGGTCCAAGGGGCTCGTGGGTTGATGTGTAGTCTAGGTAGTGCATGTGGGTGTTGGCATTTGCGCTGCCCGAGCTGATGCTGGAGCGCGATGTTAGCGAGAGGCCCGTCCCTGTTCGGCGGTGGTGGCACGAAGGGCGTCGTCTGCTGCTCGACTCGTCCTCTGACGTGACGGATGATGAGGACTCGGATGCCGGGGGGGAAGTATTGCTTTCTCGGCCGGGAGTGAAGACCCTTGCGCATGGTGCTCGTGTCCTCAGGGTCGGGCCACGATCCGGCCGTGGTCCCGTGCCGGCATCCCGGCTACTCTCTTGACGCTTCGGCAGAGTAAGTGCACAGTTGTCGCATGGCCCAGCGCGCCGGGTCACATATTCGTCGTAGGTCCTTCGAAAGCCCGAGTCCTGTCGCGTTGGTTGTTGCTGCGCGCCCTGGCCGGAGGGATGGCGGGGGCTCTGCGGAGGAGTCTCGATAGCGGAACCGGCACCGGCAATGGCTTGCGCTGCGTGCCGAAGGGAGGGCCGATGGGCTTGAGCTTCGTGCTCTAATGCAGGGACAGATGAACTCCTCTGTGATGGAGCCAGGCTGATGCGCTGGAGGGCTTCAGCGATGTTGGCGGCGTGTGCCGACTCGCCTGAGGTCGGTGCCCTGGAGCGAGGCTTGTTGGGCCTAGGCTCGGCACCAAGCAGCGTGTCGTCTGAGCAGGTACTACATGGAACGGGGAGGCCCTCTGTGACCATTAAGGGCGTTGGCCCGTGAAGGTCACAGTAGTGGGCTAAACAGAGCTGGAAGGGACAGATCAGCTTCATGGTCGTGTCTCGCGTGTAATCGGATCTTTCAGATGGGACGCGGGAGTCGTGCGGCGACTTTTGAAAGAGGGATGATATGCCGCGCATGATGAAGAGGACGGAAGGGAGTAACGGAGACGGTGAAAGAGTGCAATGGGATGGAACGGGAGTTTGGCTGTATGTCTGCATGTACATGGTTGTGCATGTGTACATAGAGAACCGAACCCGGCACAGCCCAATCCATTGCATTGGGACAGCAGCACGTGGGAGATATCGGAGCCCAGGTCGCAAGCTGTTGGGCCATGCCGGCGTCAGCTGCGCCAACGTGGGGGTTTCACGACAGGCAGCCTTGCGCGTATCGAAACCCAAAAGCACTTGGAGCGAGGCGGTGAGTGGAGATGAAAGGGTCACATTGGCCAAGTATGACAACCGAGGGAGCTGAGATGCTGTCTCTTTTCTTCCCAAAGTTGTTTCTTCCCAAAGTTGGTGCAGGTGCTGTGAATGGAGGGTCCCGAAGGGAACGAAGGAGGGGACACTTACAATTGACGTCATGATCAAGGGAGGGTTGGAAGTCGTGTATGCACTTGACTCGTCATTGTTGTTCCGATTGCAGGTGCATGTGCAATGGCAAACGGCCGCCCTGTGGTGGATGAAGAGCCCGTCGCAAACAGCCTGGAATGCAAGACTCTCTCGATGCGGGTTTGCGACGGCGTCCGACCGAAATGGGGTGAGGTCGCAGCCGCCGGAGATTGTGCTGTGTCCGCCTTTTGCGCGATGTCTCCAAAAGACCAAAGAGAGTTGAAGAGCAAACAAATAATGACTGTAGTGTTGCCCTGTCCGGTGTTTGTACTGCATTCGAGTTGAAGCCTTGGCAGCGCCGAGCGTCACTGAATCCTAGAGACGCGCCGAGTTCTCCCCTGGATGCACAACGAGGGGAGTGCGCTCGTCGAGATGCCGGTACCGAAACGGCGTCCGGTCGATTGATCACGACGAGAGTTGGTAAGCGGGCGCGTGGCGATTCTGGTTCCTTGGTGACACCTCGGAATTCGGATGAAGGTTCGTCAGCCCCGGAACGAGTTCTCGCGAGCCATGGCAGAGCGTGCCGCAACCATAACAAGCCTCGCGCTCCGAAGGACTACTCGACTGCACTGTGCTGAAAGGGCTGATTTTACAAGGCCACTCAAACTGCTCGGACTGCCGTGATTATGACCGCGGTAGCTGCACAGGGAATCGATTGGCAAAGGCGTTCGTCGGTCGATTGCAAGCCATGTATTACATACAGCCAGACCGGTACATGTAAGGTAGGGGGACATGATCTCGAGGATCAGAAGCGAGCCACGAAGATGCAGGGCTGATGGGTCCTCTTAAAAAGAATGCTTCCAGAAGCTCCAGAAGCGTGTGGGTTCCCATCGCTAAGCCTGCCGTATCCAACGACTTTGCCTGATCTGGTCTCGCCTCGGTGCATCCAACCGTTGCGAGGTGCTTTCCCAAGGACGTCCCGGTGGGGCAACAGCAGAGGGTGGAGTCTGAGACGGAAGTGTCGAGGAATCGGCCCATTTCGATCAGCTCGGCACGGCAATCTGTCAAATGCGACCGAGCGACGTCCCTAGGAAGCAGGAGTAGTATTGTACATGCACACCGAGCCTCAAGTGAGCTTATCCGGGCTGCCGACAATTCGTCGCCGACTCCTGGTCACCATGAGCCTTTTCCTCGTGATTGGGCATTGTCTTCCAGTGCAGCCCGGGACTCGGGGCTTGGCCAACAATCTTGGCCAGATGCACCCCGCACCTCCCCTCGAATGCAGCTCACCTCCCGTCACCAGCTTCAACCAGGGCACGAGCCTCTCCTTGTCACATTAGTCCATGCCAAATTCTCTTTCTATGTACTCCAGGCTTTAGTAGCAGAACAGAACCATCGAGATAGTCCTCGAGCCTCTCAAGTGATGAGCCCCGCCAACCCAAACTTGTCTGAAGTAGGTAACCTCTTGGCAGCGACGTGAAACCTCTCATTTCGGTGCCTTCCTGAGTCAGGTCTTAGCGGCAGGCCATGACGGGTCGGCGCCCGGAAAGCCGGGTCCCCACGTGGATTCAGCATCCAATGCTGCCCCACGACACCCGGGAGTGGCAGCCTTAGCGGGCCCATCCACAAGCCAGCAAATCCCATGCGAGCGGAAGGTCATCCGCACCCGTCATCAGCGACTTTACTGATTCCAAGTCATGGCCGGCGATTCATGTCCCAACTCGAGACACCATCAGGTATGTGATCCAGGCACCGAAAGCGATGCCTACAATGTTAGCTGTCGTAGTGAAGCCCACTTGTTTGATGCGGCGAATCCGTGTCCACTGTCCCGAGTCATCAATAAGTGTGTACATATGATAAAAGTCTGTAGCCGTTATTAATAGCCGCCGTTCGCGCTCCCGGCATTGCTTGGCCAGCCACCCCACCGATGCCCCCATCACAATTCGGGACCCCTTGTGTTGTTATGTAAAACTTCAGGGTCCAGACCTGGTCCTCGAAATTGCCTCGCTGTGCCTATCCAGTTGAGCCAGGTTACCGAGACGGCAATCTGCTGACGTTTGACCCTGATCTGGCGGCGGATTGAGAATTCACTTTGTCGACGGTCGGGCCATAACGTCGCGGTCATCAGGGGTCCCAAGCATCCGTTACATAGCCAAAAGAACATCGACACCGAGATACGCAAGACTTTAACGTCAAACGGCTCAACTAAAACGCCCCAATCATGGAAGTCCAATTTTAGCCGCAACGGCCCGATACTGCCCACTACCCGGCCATACCTTCCGCCTGTCCCATCTTCCCGTGTCCCCGCCGCTCGGTACCTGGTAGTGCAGATGCCCTCTCGCCTCCTTGTCCGTTGTGCCTTACATATTAGCGACCCAGTCCCACCAACTCTGACGACACGCCGTGGTGGTGTCGCCCAGGGTTTACGTCTCGACGGGTGGACTGTTCGGTAAGTATTCTCGTCATTTGCCTAACTCAGTTGACCTGGAAGAAAAATCTGGGGTTGACGGGGATACACCGCGCCCAGGTTTCCGTGTAACCGTCCTGAGCTGTAATCATCAGGGAGGAAGGATATTGCTACGATTCGCACCCAGAAAACACAAACCGGTTGTGCGACCGTGAAACACAGATTACGCTCGCCTGGCCCGCCACCTGTCAGTTACCACCCATTCCCCAGACCACATGTCGAGGTGTTTGTTGTTGTGCCTGCTCGCTCCCCTGCATTCGGCCTTCAAGGTATCTAGCGAGCTCTCGAAGCCGAATTCCTTGCCCAGGGATCTTCCGCATGAGCCAAACAGGGGAAGACAAGGCAGCCACAACGGATACCCGTGGACACGACTCGGACGAAGCGGCTATCCGACCGGGGGTGGTTTCTCCGCGCTTGACACATTCAGCTACATGATGACAAAGGTACTTGTCCATTGTGTTGCTCGGCTCTCGATTCGGGATGACAGCTCTATACGACATTTGGGGTGCAGGTTCCCGCTACTGGCCCTGCCAGCTTCCGCTTTCTCAACTGAGAAAGGAGCCAACAAAGTTAACTCAGAATTCCGTCAGAGGTCACTTTCGCAAACGAAGAGCAGTCGGTCGGGAATGACTTTTTGGCAACGTTCCGTCTCGCGAATTCTAATTGACGGATGTACTCGTTGTACCTTTGAAATGTCAAAGCTAGCTTTCTGTAAAAGTTAATAAGCTACCTTACCGAGAAGGGTGGACAAAATATGGACTAAGTGGCAGGAAATCTGATCCGCTACAGAGACAAAGAGAAGAGACGGAGAATCCAAGAGGAAGTCTCTCCAGTTCTGCAGACATGCGCTTCACGTGCCTATGTGGAAGAGAGGGGGTAGAGGAGCAATATTTGTATGGTAATGGATCTTGGATAGCTCCAGAAACGACCTGAAGGAATGCTCTTACATCCATAAAAAGTGAGCAGGTGAGTGGCTATGATTGCTCTGCGAAACAATAACAACCGAGAGATTTGCCCCAACGAGTAAGCAAATGCTAAACCCCCTGGTAGACCCGAGTAATCCCTACAGCAGCGAGTTGAGACGTCGCTTATGCAAAGGGATGCCCTTTCCATATCCCAGACTTGTCAAGACGGCGGTCGAAGACGATAAGAGAAAACAAGTCGGAATCCATCTATGCTACCCTCTATGCACCGCTCGACCCCTAACCCGCTATCCCATCCCATGTAAACTCCAGAATTGCTGAAATAAGCCGCCCTCCCCAGTCAACATCCATGAAACAATACCCCGTTACCAAAGTGGCCTAAAGAAGCCAAAAGAGAAACCAGAATGCAGCTACACCCGACCAATTCGCAAAACAACGCTCGCCAAAACAAAATCTTCTCACTCCGTAGTAGGAGGTTCAACCTCCAACCTCTTAGCCGCCGGCTCCCTGACCTCATCCCCCTCCCCATCTCCCTTTCCCTCCGCCTCGTCCCCGCCACCACCACCATACTTTTCCTCCCAGAGCTTCCTCAAGACCTGATAAATAAACCCATACTGCGCCTCAGCCTGCACCATGGTCCGCCTCTGCTCCCGGAGCAAATCCACCGTCTCAAACACAGGATCCTCCCCCTGCCCGTTGACGACCGGACTACTCCCCCACCCTTCCTCCTCTTCATCCCCCTCCTCCTCGCCATCCCCACCATGATGATTAGCAGTAATAGTACTATCCCCATCCTCACCATTCTGACCCTCACTCCCAAACCCAACCCCTGACATGAGGGCAGCCCTCTCATCCCAGTCCTCGAACACGCCCCTCTCCATCTCCCTCATGAGATGCTCCAGCGCGATGAAGGTGCCGCTGCGCCCGACGCCCGCGCTGCAGTGGATGATGCGCGGGTTGGACGGCCGGGCGTTTTTCTCGCGCGAGAGGCGCATGAGCGTGAAAAAGGAGTCGAGGTCCGAGAGGTGGGGCACGCCGAAGTCGGGCCATTTTTTGTAGAGGAAGTGGTAGATTATTTTTTCTTCTGGCTCTTGCTCGGGAAGTGGTTGGTTCTGTTGTTGTCCTTGTTGTTTTTGGTAGTGGGCGCTCAAGGGGTTAAATTGTGGAGGTGGGTTGGGAAGGGTAGTTGTGCTGCTGGTGGTTGTGGCAAACGGGGATGTCATCTCTGTGTCAGGGTCCCGGCCGGTCGAATCGGGGTCGGGGAGGGAAGGGGTAGCGACGGGCTGGATGGTGGTGCCTGGCTTCGGGCGGGAATGGATGCGGATGACGAGTTTCCGGAGCTCGATGGCGTCGCCGGCGGGGGTCTCTTCCAGGCCCTCGCATCGGACCGTCGCACGAAAACCGTCGCCGAACTCGTCGCGTTCGTTGACTTCGATCGGGGGATCGTCTTTGCTGCGCGGAAAGTATGGGAAGCACTTCTCCATGTGCCCTTCGTGCGTCTCGGTCAGCATGACGATGACGCCTGGGCTCTCCAGCTGTTCCACCACCATTCGCCAAGTATGGTCAGCCGAAGCTTGCTTCGGGCCCTGCATGGCGATGTATCGGTCCGGTTCCCGTATTGTGCCTTCGGCTGTGGGATATGGCCTGGGCGTCACGACGATGGGCGAGGCATTGATGTAGTCGACGTGCCCGTCAGGAACCTGCAGTTTGATCCGGTTGTTGTGCCACGGCTGCACGTTCAAGTACCGGTCGAGGACCTTAAGGTGTGGGCCTGTCACACGTGCCCAGCGGAAGTCGGGCGAGGGGTTGGTTACCGACTGCATCAACCGGTTGCGCTCGCGCCATACGAGTTCGGAGAATTTGTTCTCGATTTCTGCAGTTCCGCTGTGTCAGTCGGGGGCGGCGGTGAGACGGTAATCGGAGGGAAACTGACCTTGTTGGTTTTGCTTCAGAAAGGCAGGCATTTTTGCCGGCTTTGTCCTCTTTTGCCCGTCGTCCCCAGCGGAATCACTCCTCAGCGACAGGGGAGAAACCGGGCGGCCATCGGCGCTCTCCCCGGCCACAACCGGCGCGGCCGCTGGGGAGTGCGGGAGCGAAGCTGGGGGCGAGTCGCGCGCCCTCTTGCCCGATGAGCGGTGGAATACTCTGAAGGGACTAAGCTTTTGAAACGAGCGCGCAGGTGAGCTGGACCGCGAATCACCCTGCGCAGGCGCTGACCTGCCAGGTAGGTCGCTCGTGATCAGAGTCGGCGCAGCGACATCCTTTTTGCGCCGGTGAAATCGGGGAAGGTGGGCCATGCGAGAAGCAGCGACCCTGGCCGTCAGAGGGACGATAAGATCGGTTGTGGAAGTAAAAGGCGCGGTCGCAGAATGCAAGGCAGTGTGCGTATGGGAGAGCTCGCGCGACGTTTCGAGGGACAGGGACAAAGGCTTGCTCGAAGGGCGTGACAAGGGAATTATCCGTCGGCGACAAAGGAGAGCTACTTGGATGCAGCCGAAGCGGGAGAACGGTCTGGGGGCACGTGCGGGATGCAGATGCACGACGGAAGTGCGGGTATGTCGATCTTTAGTGCAGTCAGATCGGGGAGGCCAAGTCGGAATGTGAGTTGCGCCCATATATCATTCAGGGGCTACGAGTTGGTGGTACCTTTCGCACTCAAGTTGCCGAGATCCTTCGTCTCTGATTATAAGTCTGGCAAGGCTTCGGAGAAGCGGGAGTATATCGTGACGAAGCTGACTAGGGAGAAAATCTAAACTTGAAGGATCACTGAACAGTGAACAAGATCGAAGCCGAAATGACTGTTTGCAAGCGCACCAAAAACCGCTTGAACTGGCTCCAGACTGCGGTACCACGAGACTCATCGAGCCTCCTAATTCCACATTCCTCTGTTTCCTAATTCCACACAAACTGGGGCTCCAACACCAAAAACTGGCAGAAAATCCATCACCGCCCCTCTGCATCAGAGGGACACCACACTACGTAACACCACTAGCATCATCACCATATCGCTCAACTCAATTGAAGCCATCGCGATTCAACATGTCTTCGATTTCCGGTGTTTCTACCACCCATTCACGGCTCCCGAGCCCCCCGATGCGTCCTCCAACGCGCCTTCCAACGAACTGCGTTTTTTGAGCGAGTCGGTCAGTTACTGAGGTGGTTTGCTTCGCGAGGTTCAATTTAGTCCCTCGGTGCAAAGCACCGGTGATGGATTTCCCTGCCATTACTTGGTGTGGGTGGGTGCAGAGGTTCTATACCGAAAGGGGTATGAGCGGCCCGAGTTTGAGTGGAAATAGGAAGCAGGTGAGTGTGAATTAGGAGACTCAATCATGACCCAACGGGTCCTGGGGTCCTCAATGATCCACTTCATTTGGAGGTAGGACTCCACTCCACATGAGCGGACCCGACCCGCCTCCCCTTTGTCCCACCGACCGGTTCCGACTTCACCAACATCATCAGTGGGGGAGAATTGCAAGAACTCCCGACATCCAACTTGCTTAACACAAGGCGCCCCAGATATTAGACAGCTCCGGTGACCTTGTTTTTGATTGTAGGTAGGTGTTGCTCAACACAGCGAAGGCCGCATCAACCAGATGCTGTAATTGTATGGACCTCGGAGGTCTGCTCCGTTTGACGCCAGGCCCCACGAATGTTGACGATATTGCCTGCAAGAGGTAGTATTTATTCCCCGTCCCATTCGTCAATGTGACCGAGATCATGACTCGCCACTCGTATACGCGGCAACCGTGTATCTTGGAGATTGTCGACCGAACATCCGGCCTCGTTGCTCGGCCAGCTGCTGATGTCCCAATTTCAGCGACCTCGTCTTCTTTTGCTCTGGAGAGGAATTTGAAGTATACAAAGCTGTCGCCTTCACACAGTCTACTCCTATTCATTGCAGCCGTTCAGGATGGATTCCGGGTATTTCACATTACACTGGCATAGTCGGTTCCGAGGTTTCAGTCTGCTTACCGTTGACTCAAGAGACGGTGAATAACCATATCGATATGCACAAGTTTCAGTTGGACGCTGTGGGAAGGCTGGTCCTATTCATGTACACTGAGGACTATCATGACACATGCCGCGTTGAAGAGGTCTCATGTGTCGACCGCCCGTTGAGCCCTCCGCCGGAGTCGCTTTGCACGACCGTGACGTTACGGTATTGCACAACGGCCGTCCTCCACGAGCACATTCGCGTCACCTCTATCAGCGATTATTGCCAGGGCGATGTACTCGTATCCTTGGCGAACAGCAAGTCAAGCAGCTGCTCCAAGAGCACGGCAAGGATGAGTCTTGGGTCGCAGGCCTGCCGGCCGTAATCGAGGCAGCAGCCAAGTCAACGGGAAACAAGGAGTTGCACGAAATTCTGGCGGACACTGCTACAGAGCATATCTCGTGTCTTTTGGACATCGAAGAGTTCACGAGCCTCTCCCTTGTGTCGGGCTTTACTGTTGGCCTTCTGCGAGCCTTTATCCGAAGAAACGAGGTTTCGAGAAGATGACTCGAAGACACCCGATCCCGACTACGCGAAGCAGAGCTACAGATTGCTATTCGTGACAGAAAACTAAGGGATGTGGAAAGATGCATGGATGCTCTGTCAACGACACCGTAGTGCAGGATTGCTCTGGTAAATTCCAATATAAGATCTCCACTAACTAGCTCGACTGGCGGATGGCTTTCCCGCCGCAGTCAGTGTCGACCGAGGCGTGAGTATCTTTTTCGATGACCGCTTAGCAGCCAGTTTTCATGTTGACATTGCTCACTACATGGGTACTTCAATCGGCGTTATCCATGATACATTAGTGATTCTTTACGTTATTTAATTTGCATCTAGCCGCGTGTTAAAGAGTCCTAAGGAAACCTGGAAATGATTCAGAATTCCAAAGGAAGAGAAGAGGGTGAGGAACACGACAGAAACGGAGAAAAGATAGAAGGAGAAAAGACAGAAAGCGAGGGAGAAAGAAGGGAGAGAAACGAAAGAAAAGATAAAGCTCAGGGCTCGATTCTATATACGGCGAGTAAGGTAAGTGGCTATCTCACGTCACAAGCTACTAGTAGATAGCCCGAGTCCGGGGATGAAGCGTACAGCATCAATTCTAGATTGATTAGCCTGAGAATACTGAACTGACCGGCTTCTTAGTAATCTATATACCTAGGTAGCTAGCTGGCTTCTGTCTAGACTGATCTATATCCTTTCTTTCCATGCGGTGGTCGCAATCGGAGTTTTCAATATGTCATGGACACCGTGACCCCCGAGGTCCTGCCAACAGGATGGAGGATGAATGACAGGAAGAGGCGGTTAGGATCAAGATTCCAACCTTTAGTATCCAAGGTTTCGTGAACGGCCCCATAAAACAGCACTGGGACGGTTTTCAACAAGCCCCAAAGGGCCTCTGATCTCACCTTTTCCTTCTCTTCCTTGGTCAACAACTTCTCCTTCACCAGTCGGATCAGAGCACCGTCCAGCCAGTTCAGGTAGTTCCACTCCTCATTGTCGTTGTCGACAGGCGCGTTGCAGATGGCGTCGCGCAGCCTCGTGTCGTTCCGGGCGTCGGCCCCCTTGCCGACCCTGAAGCGCTTGATGAACAGCTTCTTCGCGCCGCGCTCGAGATTGGCCGCGTTCTCCTCAGTCTCCTCGCGAATCTGCCACTTCTTGGAAGACCGATGTAGGACAATCATGTTTCGCCGCCAGACGTCGTGTGTACCGTTTTGGTGCTCGATCAACAGTGCGCAGCGACGGTTCATGTTGTCGTTCCCCTTGAATATTACGGTTGATAGTACCTCGTACTCTTGCGGCTCCTCTGGCCCCGTCTTGCCCTTCTTACCGCTTCCGCTGGACGAACTGCCGGGTAAACCTTCCTTTGAGCCCTTGGTTGAGCCCTTGCATGAACCTTTGTTGGAACTCCTTTCCTTGTCTCGCGGCTTGGCTTGATCCCCCGAGCCGGAGCTGGAGTGTTGCGTTTTGGAGCGCTTGTTTATGATGAACATACTGCCTGCCGGTGTAGTCGCTTGCTAGTTCCGTCGGTGAAGCTGATGTAGATGCTTCGTTGCTGGCTGTTGAGGGGATCGGTTATATTTGGGAAGTGATGACTGGAATGGATGCTGTCCGGATGACAGAACGTCCCGAGGAAGCGTACCCGTGCTTTTGTATCTGAGAACGCAACAAGAAGACGTGGCATCGTTGTCACGGTGCTTTGGCTTCATCCGGCCTCTGAGTAACAGACAGATTTGGTTGTCTCGCGCGCCCTCCGTCCGACCAACGATGGCCGGAGCACACCATGGCCTCAGAAAGCCAGCCCGGCCAACTTGTAAGAGGCAAGGGGATGGCGCCAGGTCCAGGCTACGGGTCAAATTTTAGGCGCTCGAACCCCTTTACGCTTGACTTTTTCACATTTTCGGAGAGCAATGGCGCCGCAAGCCTGCAGCCTGAGAAAGACGGCCGCCCTCGGCCCTTCGAAAAGCCCCTTGAAGCCAAAGCGACCGAAAACCGCTCTGGACGAAAGCTTGGCCGTTGACTTAGTCCCGGTGGCCGAAACTCAAGAGGAGACAGAATCTGCCGCATCGAGTCTGGTTGGTCCCATGATGGGCCAGCCATCACCGGTGGCACCTTCCATTCTTAGCGCCACGCCGCCAACAGTTGAGAGTCAGCGGTGGTGTGCCACTTCAGAATGTGCGCGCCTAACCAAATTTCCGGAGTGGATCGGTTCGTAGTGCAATCAATGATTCTTCAATTGCGGTGTCAGGCCAAAGGGGGGCTGGCGGCTCTCCCTTGGATGGTGCAGAATTACTTCTGATGTAGTTAATTGACTTTGCACCCAACGCCGAGCCCACTGCAGATGGTTCTGCGACGACTGGCTCGGCTCTCAGCCACGTTCATCCCACCTGGCCAACTTCCCCTCATCTGTCTGGCTCAGCTACCTTGACACGCAGCCTATAACCCGAAGCGAGTAAGACCGGACCACATGATGTCAAGTAGTGAACATACACCAGAGGGGAAATGCCGCCGCCCCTTGGAGAGGTACTCCCACTGAGCACAATCGCGAACAACAGCGAGAACGATGACGCCGTGGAGAACTTACGCCGCCGAATACGCGCGAAGAAGGAGGAACTCTGGGCCAAAGGGCTTCCAGTGACAGTCCGCGCATCACCACCTCGGAGGCCTCGGCCACCGAGGGGGATGTTTCCCCCCTACGCACGGCAGCTGCTCGACGCCGGCAGCGAGTTTGTCCACAAGGGGCAGCACCGCTGGGTCATCAAGCACGCGTGCGGCACCAAGGTGACCAGGTTCGACCCTACCGGCATCCTCCCCGGAGAACCCGAAGCCATGCGCTTCGCGGCGGAGCATACCAGCATCCCCGTGGCTTGCGTGTACGAAGTCGCCGAGGACCACTTCACAATGGACTTCGTCCAAGGCCAACCGCTCGTTCAGGGGTGGGGCACCACCCTCTCGGCCGAGGATAGGGCTCTCGTGTGCCGGCAGATGAGCGAGTACATCAGCCAGCTGCGCGCCTCAAGAGCCCGGACGGCGTCATCTGCTCCTTCGGCAGCCACCCAGCCATTGAACGACCGCAAGTACTTCCGCTACGAGGCGAGCTGTTCGCCAACGAGGCCGAGTACAACGAATTCCTGCTGGGTGACCTGTTCGCAATCGACGTCGTCCACGACATGATCCGCAAACAAATGCGGACGGACCACGGGATCGTCCTGACGCACGGTGGCCTGCGGTCTAACAACTTCCTGGTGCGGCCCGGGGTGGGCGTCGTGGCCATTATCGACTGGAGATATGCCAATTATTATTACCCGGAGTAAGTCGAGCTGCTGATGGTGCTCGTCGGTTCGACATCGATTGTGGCTATTACAACGAGCTCTTCAGAATTTTCCCGCAGCGCTACGATGACCAATGGTTCGTCGACCAGGTGCTGATTGTGTACGCCAGGCATTGATACTTGCATGTGCCAGGGGTGGGAATGGGGTTGTTAGTCCGAGTGATCAGTAGCCGTATTCTACAATGGCTGATGTTTTATGGTTTCACCCCTCTTGCTAGGTTCATGACTCACAAGGGGAAGGTTCGTATACGAGGACTCGCTGATACCACCAACCTAGATGAGTGATCCAGATTTTCTTACCCACACACAAGAAAAGGAGTCGAGTAGTATAGTCCCGTCCCTATCCGACATCCCGTAAGATGTTGATACAGTAAATATACACCACCTACACAGCCCAATATCATAGTCGTGTTACACCCAAAGCCAACGTTTACTCCAATAACCCCAGACCAACTCCCGATCATCCAACATATAGTACACCTTTAATCAAGCCCCCGAATAAATCCCAGACACGAACCGCCCACACTCAACCCTCTGCTCGACACTAACCTTCCTCCACTTCCCCTCCTCCCCCAACCTAACCGTCGTCCGCGGCGTAATCTGTAACCGATGCCTCTCCACCCCAGCAGCATCACCCCCGCCGCCCTGCACCTGCGCGCTGGGCCCATCCAGGGGAGCAATGTACACGGGCGCATTCACATTGTTGCGCTTGCCCGTTCCCAGCTGGTAATGCTCGTTCCCACCCCACCAGAGGATGTCGGCGCCAAAGTTTGTGTCTGTTTTGATAGTTGTTTCCTCAGCTGAGGATGAGGCAGTCAAATGGGTGATGTTATCCAGCACGGCACAGGCGTGGGTGCTGCCTACCGCCAGGCGGGCCAGGCGGATGGGCGTGATGCGGTTTGTGTTTTCATCGTACTCGTACAGATTCGACAGGGCTTTGATCTTTGTCGGGGTCGGCGAGACGTGCGTCCATTTGCCGGTTCCCAGGGTGCCGTGAATGCCCGAGCCGCAGACCCAGGTGTCGGCGGTGGTGCGGCCCAGTTCGGCGGGGATCTGGTTGTGAGTCTTTGTGGCGTCGACGGTGAAGAAGCTGTTCATGCCGCCGGCCGCGATGGAGGTGACCTTGGGAGCCAGGTCGGTTCCGCTGTAGAGCTTGTGGATGGGGAGCGGAGACGGAGTGTCGACCGTGCTGGTGCCGACTTCGGTTTCGAAGCCCAGCTGGCCGCTGCTGTTGTCCCCGAAGGCGAATACGTGGCCGTGGCTGTCGAGAGCCAGCGAGTGGAAGTCGCCCGTGGCGATGGCTTTGATGTTGCGGCCGTCCAGAGCCTTGACTTCGTGGGGCTGGTCATAGGGGCCTGTGGGCCGGGTGTGCCAGGTCAGACCTGGGATGCCGAGCTGCCCTTTGGAGGGGAACTCTTCGGAGCTCGAGACGGCGGAAAAGACGCGGCCTTTGGAGGTCAGCAGCAGGCAGTGCTCGAGACCGCTCTTTACATCGACAACTTTCTCACCCCAGCCCAGATTCTCGGGCTTGAGCGACCGGTAATTGGTAGAGGAAGACGTTTCGGGACTCCAGAACGGGAGCCGGGAGGATTTAGTGGGTTGTTTCTCGTCCACAGCCTGGTCTGCTTTGGCGACAGGGATGGAATAGACAGATCCGTTGGACGAAAGCGCAATGACGCGGTCCCGTGAGATGGCAATCTTTGCGATGTCTTTGCCCTTCAGGGTGACAGTGGGTCCAGCAGCATCCTTGGAGAAGGCAGCACCCCACTGCACGAGGTCGCCGTTTTCGGTGACGGCAACACCAAAGTTGCGGTCCAGCTTCAAATCTCGCAAGATCTGACCGTCGAAGTAAGGGATCCGGCGCGGCGTCTTGACGACAGTCTCGTTGGAGTCGGGGGCAACGACTTTCCCGGCATTGGAACCCCAGGCATATACGCCGGGATGCTCCCAGCTGTTCTTGACCTGCAGATGCTGCGAGCTTATCTCTTCCTTGGAAGCAGCCTTCTTCCGAGGCTTTTCAAAGACCATCTCGGCCTTTCCGGGTTGCGGTGAGCCCACCGGCTGCGACTCGGGGAAGAAGCGCGGATATGCCCAAAGGGCGCCGGCTCCCGATGCGACCATGACGGTCAGCAGGCCGAGTGCACGTCTGCCAGGGCGTGGCATCTGGGTAGCTGAGCTGGCGTAGCGAACCCATTGCGAAGGTGCAGCTGTGGGCGAGAGTCTGAGTGCCTTGACTGATGAAGGCGGGCGCCCGAGGGCAGCCCGCGAGAGGAGAGGCGAGACCATGTTTATCTCTTTCCCATTTCCTGTTCTGTCCAACAAATGCTTGTTGATGACTTCGTTGTCGAGGGCGGCTTGATAGTGAGGTCGCCCGGGTTGGTTGGCTGCATACACACCCTCACGAATCTTAGAAGCCTCGAAGCTTCTTTCGGAGAAGGCTCCACAGCGCAACCATCAAAAAGCTTGGCATCGCCCCGATTCCCGTCTCTTTCCTCGGCCCGTGCACTCGCCCGCGTTTCAGGCCCCACTTGTCCGCATATCACCCCGCCAAGCGCGGCCAATGGAGGTCCGTTCCAGAGCAGCAACTCCGGCCGCTGACGGCCGGGTTTCAACAGTTATTGCGATTTCCAGACGTCCACGGTCCAGCTGCCCTAGGACTCTGCGAAATGTACGAGGACTCGTCCTGGTACAGTTTTGTACCAGAGCTCCAGCACCAACAGCCAGCGTCAGGGCCCCGAAGTAGTGGCCATCGACGCAAGCAGTCGCTGTTACAGCAGCCGAATGTGTGTCTTCATCTGCGACTTTTGCGACGTCGATGATGCGCTATGTGCAGGAACACCACTGATATGCTTCGCAGAACCCTGCCGACGCCGCCGACGCCGCAAAGCCCCTCCCACCTCTTTTCGAAGACAAGGAAGATTCCAATTGGCCACCAGAGCCGACATTGTCGCGAAGAGTAAAGTCTTACTCAGATCTCTACGACCTCATAAAGACTCAGCTGTCCAGCCATGCCCCAGGGAAGAAGAGGAAGAGGAAGCGGAGCGCCCGTAGTTGGGAGGCTTTGGCTTTCCCAGGGTCGGTGACTGTGAGCTTGCCAGCCGAAGAGGACGGTTTTGACGATGCCGTCGATAAAGAACTACTCCGGGCAAGCCAGCAGGAATACTTGTTCGTGGGACATGGCACTCTACCACCGCCGGCATAATTTCGACATGCTGACAGAATTCAAGACTCTACCACGACGAACTGGCCATGACCGAGCGCCATCTCGGAACCCTCATCGCTGACACCAACAGCGCTCTCAAAACGCTCGAATCACTGTGCCAGTCCTTCCGCGCCGTCGACGAGCAGACCAGCTCCTTCCAGGTCCAATGTGACGGCCTTTTGACGGAGAAAACGCGTCTCGAAGCACTCGCTGAGTCTGTCGGCAGAGATCTCCAGTACTACACCTATCTCGACTCGGCAACCCGCCGTCTCACTGCCCCTGGCGCAGGTCGCCTAGTTGAAGGAGGCAGCTTTGCCGAGATTTTGTCCACCTTGGACTCTTGCATAGAGTTCATGACGCAGCATGTCAGTTCCTCCTGCGCCGTTTCTAAAGTTCCCTCAGCTGATTGGCTGCCCATAGTCTTCATACCGAGACGCCGAATCGTACCTTGCGCGCTACCAGGCTCTGCTAACCAAAGCACTGCACCTGCTCGAGGTGGGCTTTGTCAACCACCTGAACAAGGTGTCTGCCGAGATATCGCGCCAAATTGCTGCGACGCAGTCCGAGTCGGCTCGCCACGCCCTCGCCTACGGCCGCTTCGAGGAGATGGTGCTTGAGTCGTACTCGCTGATTCCGAACCTCCAAACTGTGGTACGGAATGCCTACGACCAGGACGGCCAGCCATCCTCAGCTCTCAACGCCGACATCTACGCCAACACGGCCATTAACCTGTTCCACTCGTATTGGGCCGCCAGAGAGCGGGATCTCAAGACTGTTTTCCAGCACGATCTGGACGTGCTCAGAGCGGAAGCCAAGGAGTCGATAGAGACGGCCTCGAGAAATTTTGTCAAGCAGTGCTTCGAGCGGTCGTACAACGAGGCCTCCCTTTTCAAGAGCATCTTCTCCATCGACGCGCATTACTCGGCCGAGCCGAACTCTGCCTTCGCGGCCCTCAAGTCACAGCGCGCCGTGCTTACCGGAGCAAACGTGGCGCCCATCGCCACGAACCTGCAGTTGGTCCTTCAAAGCAGCGACCTGGAGACCATCTGCAATTTGGTCGGTTGGATCTCCCACGAGTACCTGCTCCCCGAGTACGAGGAAGACAACGAGACGCCGTTCGCGGGGCGGTGCCGAGAACTGGCGGCCAGGCTGCTCGCCGAACACCTGTGGACGTTTACCGACGCCTTCTTCGAGGCTGAGATCGCAAAGTCCATCACAAAAGCCGTCATGCCGCCCGATGCCTTCCAGATTGGCCCCGTCACGAACGGCGACGCTGCTTCCAACGCTTTCCCTCCCATCAAGCGGGCGCTTGAGCTTCTCGTGCTGTTTGACCAGTCCATGCCCAAGGAGCGATGTGTATGTCCTACACCCTCTGTATGCATTTCCATTTTCTCTGACATTATGCCACCCACAGCAACGAAACAGCCCCGTAATTTTCAAGATCATTAAAGAATCCATCGCCTCGGTCCAGCGCGCAGAAGCCCGCATCCGATCCGTCACCACAACCTCAACCTCCAAAACAAATGCCGGTTACAGTAACACAGACCCTGACCTCTTCACCGTCAAGAACCTGCTCCTGCTCAAGAATGAGCTGCTGACGCTCGAGATTGGCGACGTTCGTGGTGCTGGCGGAGCTGGAGCCGGAGCCGGAGCTGACGGCGCAAGCGTCAGCAGTCGGGTCTGGGACGCTGTTCTGCACCGACCGCAGGACTTGATTGGCGGGTTGCTGAGTAGTTTTGGGAATCTGGGATATGGCTTGGGGGCGTATATGCCCTCGATTCCGGGGTCGTCGCTCTGGGCCGGGACGCCTGGTGGTGTGGTGGGTGCTGGGCAAGGAGGAGATAGTAATGATGCGGGGGAGCAGCTGGATGGGCTGCTTAGGCAGAGTATTGTGGCGTTTACGAGGCGGTGGGCCGGGTTGTTGAATGAGGCGAGGGGCGTCGTGGCCGGTAAGCTGGGTGGGAAGAATGTCGGCAAGGTGGAGAGGGAGCTGGATGAGATGCTGGAGAGGGTGTTTGGTGGGCAGCCCGAGGTGGTGGGCAAGTTGAAGGAGGCGATTCAGATTGAGGCTGAGGCGTTCGTACGGGCTGCGGGGGAGAAGAGGATTCATGTCACGAGAGTGTAGGGCGTGGAGGGAGTTAGAGTGAATCAGGGTTGTGTCAGGTTCAACACGGCCTCACACTTGGCTGGCAACGCCTGGGCTGGTCGTGACTCGTCTGTGGTGAGCATTCGTTGTCGGTCAGGTTCAAGTCTCTACCACTCTGTTTCGTTAGATAGAATTAGCCTGCAGTGGTTGTGTGGTATGTGAGGACATCGAAACTTCTATAACGTTATATGATATTTGCGGTAAATGCCCGACCTAGGTCTTCACTAAGTCCCCCTTCTCTACAAAACTCTCTTCCCAGGCTCGCCACGCATGTTCTTATATTTTGCGGCGTACATGCCGAATTAATGTCTAAGTTCCCATAATGACCAAGCATCCTCTTGTTCTAATGTCACCAACAAGCAATTAACCCTTCGCCTGTCCTTCTTCCTCGGATAATGGAATATGCAACTACCCGGTGCCCTGGAGCACGCCATTGACCCCGACGATTGAGAACCCTGTCGGCCTGTAGCAGTCCCACACCCCGCCGATCATGAACCACAGATAGCCGACACCGGGAGTGACAACGGCCGCACTCCAACTCTTCAGGAGGTAGGGTGTTATACCTACGTTAAATCTGTGAGACGGCCAGCTGCCGGGCAATCAGTGCTGTTCGGACTAGCCGGATTAGCGAACCGTGCGAGTCTTTTTCTGCGTCCTCAATCGGCGATTCTAAGCAACAAACGACCGAGTCGCATCGTGGAAGAAGCAGTCTCTAACAAGACAAACCAACACAGGCAGCCGGCAGCATGGCCGACCCAGCGGCAGACCTCGAAGCGCACGGCTCCTCCTCGGCCGCGCAGACAGTAAAGGATTTGTTCTCCGGCGCAGCAGGCGGCGTCGCCCAGGTGCTGATCGGTATGTCATTTCATTAGCAAACACCTTACTTACCTTGCCTTCACATTCCGGTAGTAGGGAGGGACTGACACAGCGCACATATCTCCAGGCCAGCCCTTCGACATAGTAAAAGTTCGCCTCCAAACCAGCCAAACCTACCCCTCGGCCCTCGCCGCCGCAACGTCCATCTACAAGCACGAGGGCGCCCTTGCCTTCTACAAGGGCACCCTGACCCCCTTACTCGGCATCGGCGCGTGCGTGTCGATCCAGTTCGGTGCCTTCCACGCCGCGCGCCGCTGGCTCGAGGAGCGCAAACTCAAGAGGAGTGGTACTAGTAGTGCTGCTACGCTAGGCTACGGCGAGTACTACTGCGCCGGCGCCTTCGCCGGCCTCGCCAACACGGCCCTCTCCTCCCCGATCGAGCACGTGCGCATCCGCCTGCAGACGCAGCCGCACGGCCTGGGCGAACGCCTCTACTCGGGGCCATGGGACTGCGTGCGCAAGCTGTCTCAGAGCGGCGGGCTCGGAAAGGGGCTGTACCGCGGAACGTCAGTCACGCTGCTGCGCGAGGCACAGGCGTACGGGGTGTGGTTCTTGACTTTTGAGTGGCTGATGAACGCCGACGCGGCTCGCAACGGCGTCGAGCGTAAGCAGATCGCCAGCTGGAAGGTGGCGCTGTACGGCGGGCTGGCGGGTGAGGCGCTGTGGCTGGCGAGTTATCCGTTTGACGTCGTGAAGAGCAAGATGCAGACGGACGGGTTTGGATCCGCCCAGCGGTACAAGAGCATGCGCGATTGCTTCGCGCAGACGTGGCGGGCCGAGGGGGCCAGGGGGTTCTGGAAGGGGATCGGGCCGACGCTTCTGAGGGCTATGCCCGTGAGCGCGGGGACGTTTGCTGTGGTGGAGATGACCATGCGCGCGATAAATTAGGGAGTGGTGAAGAGAGTAGGCGTGGTGAAGGCGAGATCATAGAGGGATGGACAAGGCAAGCCTGGCACGGGCATGACGGGCATCAGCTGACGGAGGGGAGCGCTCAACGGAATGCATGGCCCGGCGTCCTCAACGGGCGCTGCGGTGTAGGAAGGCAGCGCTGAGGGTCGGAGGAGGGCTCGGATGATATCCATTGCAAGAGATTGCAGTTATTTTTTCAATCAAAGATCTTGCATATACCCGACAATCTACCACTACTCCGCATTCTCTACCCTGCGCTGCAGTATTTGCCTGGCATTGGCAGGCGTCAACAAGTCGGTTTGGAGCTCCTCCAAGACCTTCTTTGCCTCGGCATTGTCCGTAAACACCATATCCGTCGCCCGCTTGAGCGTCATGCCGCCTTCCTGTGCCTCCAGGGGCAGGTTGAATAGCCGGAGAGCGTCGACTAGACTGGCAAGCGACCTTGATCCGTCCGGGATGTACCTCTCGACGAGCGCCGAGATGGCATGTACATCCCGCGCGAACTGGGCTGCCCCTGACGCCGTGAACTTGTGGCTCATCAAGACCTCGCTCCATAGCGTGCTGTTAAGATTTTCGAGTGCCTCCCGCCAGACGCGGCGGAACACGGCTTTGCCGAGGGCTCGATGGAGGAAATCCAGGTCGCGCTTCAAGATCTGGTCCAGTCAGACCGCGGCTCCAACTCTGGACTGAATAGGGATATCCACTCACTCTCAGAGGCTCGTCTAATTCAGCCGTAACAACCAAATCGCCTGGAGAATCATCTGCAATCGTGCTCCACTGCGGGCGGTGGATGTACGCTTTGAAAGCCTTCCGATGAGACTCGACCAGTGCCTCGGCTAAAAACTCTTGCGCCCGTTTCCGTCTCAGGTTATACGCGGCGATGGTCTCGTCAAATAGGACGCCGCTGTCCTCTTCTTTACCCACGGCTGAGGAGGTCCGGTCCCTGACATGGTCATAGCTCATGCCACCGGCAAGGTTGCTTTGATCGTCGGTGGCCTTGGCTCGTGCCTGGAGCTGCTCCCATAGTGTAACGAAGAACTGGTACAGTCAGTATCCGAGTTGAGACGCGGTAGGTAGGTAGGGGCGTACTTACCTCTTCATTACTCCAGTCTCTTAGTGTGTTGACGATATGGTCGGCACTGCCGTACACCTTGCACAGCGTCTCCAGAGCCCCGGTCCCTTCAAGCGCAGCCAGCTGCTCCTTGGTCACGCCAAACGCCCTTCCTACAGTCGACGTAATGCTCAAATACGCCTCCAGCGTGCCCCTGAGATGGTCATGGTATTCGTCCAGAATGGCCAGCTGGATGTCGATGAGGAAGCGCAGCTTGTGGGAGAAGCGCCTGACCCGCTCGTACTGGGTTGTGACAGAGCGGAGCAGGTCGGTAACGCGCGTGGCCGCAAACGTGGGCTTCGTCCTCCCCGCCGCGGCAAAGTCGTAGTCGATGCTCCGCGCGTCTGGCGCCGCCATGATGGTCTGGTAGCGCTCTAGTGCAAACCTCTTCTCCGCCTCGAGCCACGGCCGGAAGTGCTTATTCAAAATCTCCGACGTCAAGCCGCCCCAGCCTTCCTCGGCATCCCCGTCGTCGTAGGCAAACGCGGACCTGAGCCTTTCGTCAAACGTCATGAGCTGCGAGAGCAGGCTGCTGAGGAAGACGGCGTCCCCGGATGTTTCTGCAAGCGTCACGGCAATCTTCTCCCTCATGACGGGCAGCATGGAGGTTATGAAGGCGCAGACGGGGTCCATGTACACCATCTTGTGAGCAACGGGCGTGTCCCCAAACTTGGCAGCAAGCACCGGCCCAAAGTTGTCCCGGAAGAAGTCCTCCCACTTCTCGACCAGGGCCAGAAACCAGGGAAAGCAGTGCGCCGTGACGACCTGCGGGCTGCTCGTCGGCTTGTCGCTGAGAAAGTGGAACCGAAACTCCTTGACAAAGATGTGCGCCATGACATCCACCGGCAGAAGGCTGACGGTGGCTGGCGAGTACAGCACCTCGGGCACCTGCAGGTCGACGAGCTTGTCAAAGCACTGCAGCCACTCGTCGTCGACCTCGGTGTCCGGGTCGACGTTGGGCCACCCGCGATTGGACAGCACCGCCTCGAGCTCGTCCGACATGGTCCTCTTCATGTCGTCCCACAGCTTCTCGACCGCGGAGTCGACATGCCTGACAAGATGCACCGCGGCACCGTCAGCCTGCTGCTGGAGCTCCCGAAGGCGCAGCGCCAGTTGCTTCAGCCGCGCGTAAGGCTCCAGCGCGGCTTTGGGGTCGCGCGGCAGGTGGCGGCGCGCCGCACGGCGCAGGCCCTCGACGTCCTGCAGCAGCAGCAGATAGCGGTAGGCGAGGTCGACCTTGTGGAGCTGGCGCATGGGCGGCTCGAGGCGGCGGATGGCGTCGTCGGGGGCGTCGGACTCGGCGATGATGTGCAGGCGCACGTCGATGCTCTTCTGCAGGGCGTTGAACTCGTCGATCTGGGCCATGAGCGCGGCGCTGCGGTCGGCCGACGACCGGCGGGCCTCGTCGAGCTCGCGCGTGGCATGGTCGAGCTGCGATTGGAGTTGGCTGCGCTGGTACTCGACGCTGCTGAGCAGTGTGTCGAGGTGCTCAAAGTCGGTCGTCGACTGCAGCTTGTCGTTCAGGTAGTCCTCGACCCGGATGTCGGAGTCCATGGTGAAGGCAGGCGGGTGGGTGGCTAAGGTAGCTGTCTGGTGTCAAGCCATGGGGTGTTTTCGTGGACCTGTTCTTGAAAGTGGTTGACGGTGGAGCTCTGAAGGAGCGCAAGACGGCTGATTGCAGCAGCGGATGATTCAAGCATTTACAGAAATGCCAAGCCGGTGACGACACTGCCTGCCGGCTGCACACCCAATTCTTTCTCGATCCGCTTCTGATAATTTACCTAAGGTAACCAAGCATCAATCGGCCAAGGAATACACGCTCGACAGCTTCAATCACTTCCGCGGCACGAGGCACTGCCCGTCGACTGAATTTGCAGTCGATCACCCTTCAATGGCGCCACCATGAGGCGGTACCTGCCGAACACGGGGCCCGCCGCGCGCAGTATTGGTGCATCGTCAATCCTCTCGCCGACTTCCCGGCCCTTCCTCAGCTATCGACACTTCCATCGCACCCCGACGCCATGCTTACCTCGTCGTCGGAACTTCTTTACCTCCAACGTCCTCTTGCAGCAGGATGGCAGTGAACCGCAGCGATCCTCTGCGACTGCGAAGAAGCCCGAGGACGACAAGCCGAGCAGCACAGCGAACCAGCCGGGCCAGAAGAAGCGCAAGCCGCCGCTCAAAAACTCGCTCCACCGCGTGGCTATCGTCGCCCAGAAAGGTGTGCCCGGGAAGCCAGGACCGCCCGCCGCCGAAACCCCAACCGGCCCGGATGGCAGCTCAATCATCAGCGCTGTGTGCGTCGCCGAATCGTTCGACATGGACAAGGTCGAGGACATACTCAAGAACCATGGCTTCTCTCTCGACCCCGACGGCACTGGCTTCGAGTCGCACGAAGTAGTCCACGCGCGCGGATTCAACAACGGCGACATCTTCGTCTTCCCTTCCGGCACCGTCGTGACCTGGGCGCTACCTGCCGACGTCGTCAACACCCTAGCCACCAAGCACCTCCTCCCCGCCGCCGAGATGCCCCACCTTGAAGACAAGGAGGAGGAGGATCTCGAGTTCCTGGCGGACCCGGCGCAGGAGCAGAGCAGCGTGAGCGGGGACGTGGTCGTGCTCGGCACACGTCGCGAGGTGGAAGCCGGCGACCGGCTCGACACGACCCTGGCCAAGATCGCCTTCTCTTCCGGTCTGGCGCGCAGCACCAAGCTGGCTGTGCTGGAGAGCTCGCTGACGCGCTATCTCGAGAGCACGCGGCACATCCCCGACCATCTCTCGCAGGGTCTGCGCGCGCCACTCTCGCGGGGCATGATTCTGCAAAAAGCCGGCGAGCTACTCAACCTGCGCAGCCAGCTGAACCACTATAACGACCTGACGGACGCGCTGCCCGACATCTTCTGGGATACCGAAGAAAAGCTCGAGACGTATTATGCCAAGATCGGCAAGGCGCTCGACGTCGGCGTGCGCATCAAGACGCTCAACGACAAGATGACGTACGCCCAGGAGGTCGTCAACGTCGCCCAGGGCGTGCTCGACATCAGCGAGAAGATGTCGAGCGAGAAGCACAGCACCCGCCTCGAGTGGATCATCATCATCCTCATCGCCATCGAGGTTGCTTTTGAACTGAGGCGCCTGTACATGGAGCGGTACGATGTGTTTCAGGATGAGCTGCTCGCCGAGCTGAAGGCGCTGCGGGCTGATATCCGGAAGGGCGAGAGACTAGACGCCGGCTTGAAGTGAACATGTGGCAGGGCTGGATGATGCCCGGTAAATATGATACCCAACTCAAATTCTAGGTGTAATGCTGGCGATTGATAGACCAGATACAAATTAGTCATTGAAACGACTCCCCGCTTATTATATTCAGCTCTGTTTTACAAACAAATAGGTGTCGCGCCATAGACTCGTGAACGCACCCCCCTGCAGACATCTAGAAACGCCGGCAAGGCATCCGTCTCTGATACCATATCTGATAAAACGCAAGATGCCCAAGTTGGTGTAAGATATGTGTACTACTAGCTCATCTATCCAAGTCCTCATCTGTCTTGGTCCAACCTCCTGGCGCCTCTACTCTCAAGCCCCCGACTTCCAATAGGTACAGTACATTTCGCGATGCACGAACAAGAAAAACTCATGGGCCGGGCAAGGGCCCAAACCCATCGTACAACCTCACCACTCCAGCGGAACCATTCAGACACGCACACACCACCAACCGCAGACAAATACCCAGGTTGAGAAACGGAACCAGTTTCCTTCAGGAAAGACACACCATTTCCAGGGCCAGAACCCAGGATCCCGTGCGGGTGCCGCAACAGGCAATACCGCCACCAGGTCCCTCACCTAACCACGACACCGTACCAACTGTAGAAAGACAACTGCTGTGGACAGAAAGAGCTCCAAACGGGCTGGCGTGACTGACTTAAGAGGACAATTCACAAAGGGCCTTGCAAGTCCTCATAAATGGACATTTCCCCCCAAACAACCACCTCGATCCCATTCCACGCCTTTTAACGACCTTCCCCTACCCGCCCCGCAAACCAAGTACATACCTAACCTGAATGGTAAGGTAAGTAACCATAGCAGCAGCGACAGCAGCCCCCTTAATTCAACTCAGCTCAACTCAACCAACCCAGCCAGCCTGCTATCGCCGGAAATTGTAGCACGGTAAGGCCCAAACACGATGGACGCACCCCTATACGCGGGAGTGCTGTGATCACCTCGACTTTTGAAAAGGGTCCGGGCCCAAAGCAGGACAAAAAACTCTTTCTCAGAAAAAGAACCAGAAACCCAAATGAGCGCTCACATAACCAACCCCAGCAGTTGATTGTTCTACATCTTCTCCTTGCCCGTTCCTGCTTGCTCAATCCGAGGTGTAAGAGATCCCTACCATTCGTCCACCACAACCCATCCATCCATTAGACCAACCGGAAAAATCGTCCCGTCTGCCTTTTCTCGACTCACACTTCTCACTTCATTGTACCACCACCTCACCAACCATCTTTATTTTCTGCTTCCGTGCTCTCAGAAAAGCGGACAGCACACAGTGCATAGGTTGACAAAGATTTGCCAAACGTCGCCAAAACACGACGACGACCTGCCAAGGCGGGTTTCCACCCCATCAGTCTCACGCACTAGGTTTCCCCTGCTGCGGCGCAGGACTCGCCGTCCCCGTCCCCGGACCCACCGGCGCAGCCTGGACCGGCCTCGGACTATTCTCACCACCACCACCAACACCACCACCATTCACAGCAGCCGGCCCGACCTTGATACCAGGCGACGACACACCCTGCCCCTGACCGTGAGCATGACCATTGTTATGGTGTTGAGGACTTCCCATATTCCCCATCTGCTGCTGCTGCATTTTGGCCGCCGCAACTTTGTGCACGTCCATATGACCCGCCAGCCCAATCCCCGCCAACCCCACAACCTCGCCCGGGGCCTGCTGCGTCTGCGTAACTTTACCCATGTGCCCGCTGACGCGCTGCTCCGCGTCGGCGCGCGCTCGCGCCTGCTCCATGACCTGTCGCTGCTGCACCTCGGGCATGACAGTCGCGAAGCCCGTCAGATTGGATCCCGTCTGTTGTCTGTTGTTTCCTCCTCCTGTTCCGCCTGCTCCCGCACCTGCTGCAACTGCTGCTGCTGCTCCTTGCATCATCCCCGGCCCCGGCGAGCCAGCGCCGTACTGTCGGGGCACTGCGTTAACATTCGGCGGCATGCCCGGTCCTGGACTCCCGTACGGTGGACGGCCGGCTATCTGCTGGTGCTGCTGGGGCGGGGTGGGTGACTGGCTGTATGGGTGTGCTTGCGGAACCTGTGGAGACAAAGTCCGGGGCATCTGCCCACCATTGGCGTACGGCATGTAAGGCGGCTGCTGGCCGTGAGGGGCCATCGGCGGCTGATGTGGAGACATTTGCGGGTGCGGCGAGGGCTGCCCATGTTGGGGGTGTGGCTGGATTTGCTGGTGTTGCTGGTAGCCAGGAGGGTAGCCCTGTGAGAACCTCTGATTCGGAGCGCCAGGCTGTCCCATGTTGTAGTTTGGATGTTGCTGCATCCGTGATTGCGATGGGCTGGCCGCAAACTGATGTGGCATATTGGAATGGCCGTACGGACCCTGAGCCTTAGCCAGTTGGGGTGCATACATGGTTGGTCTGAACTGTGTCCCGGGCGCCGGCCGTGGCTGGACTTGTTGGTGCGGCTGCGGAATAGGCACGCTGGATGGCGCCCTGGAATACATATTGGAGGCCTGCGGTCGGACTGGCGTTTGAGGGAAGTGCTGCGCTCCCCCTACAGGACGGACCGACGGCGTGAATTGTGCCTGATACTGGTGGCTGGCGTACTGGCCGGAAACGCTCGGCGTCCTATGTGCTTGGCGTTGGGCAGACGTCTGCTGCGCAGCCTGTGCCAACCTTTGAAGCCGTGCGGGCTCGTCCTCTTCCATGACCCCCCGGTAGTCGTCGGAGCGAATCTCAATTTTGGTGCTCACGGCCAGCTCCGCAAGCTTATCGGAATTAAGGCGTGCCACGGCGTAAGGGGGAAGGGTCTGGATGATTAATGACAGCTGTGCCTTGAGGGCTTCGTATGTCATCACTTCCTCTTCACTTGGCTGGTGCGAGAGACTGCCGTTCCGTAGCATGTCGCCGTTCACGGGATCAGCCGAGTAACGGTCTTGGCTGGTTGGTAGTGTAAGGTTTCGGTTGCGCTGGTAGGATGCCAGGGTTTCAATCAGGTCCGAAACTTCCTCGAGCAGATCATCTACCTCCTTTTCCTGGTCAGATTTCTTGCCCAGAGCATGGTCCAGGCCCGGGTCAATCGCCGTTTCATCCCAGTTCTCGATGGCGTCTTTCACGTACTCCTCGTCGATTTCCATGACCAAGGCCGAGTCAACGGTAGAGCCCCCCTCGTTTTCGTCCTCGGGCTCTTCAGCTTCGGCCATTCTGGCATAGCTTCGCCGACCGACGCGCTGCCACCAGATGCGGCTCACCTGCCCCGAAGGTACAATGGCACCTGAGTCGTCCTTGCACGGCGCAAATGCGGAGAATGCACCGCGGAAAAGAGACTCCATCTCGGATATTTCGAGCTCAATTGTGGACGGCTTGACGCCCGCTAGACTCTGAGCGCGCTCTCGCTGTTTTGTCTTGGCATGGGTCGTCGGTGTAGCATTAGTGTAATCAAGCCAGTTCCCGGTGGAGATGTTCTGAGAGAAGTAACTCCCGGAACGGTACTTTGACTTCTCGGCAAATTCGGGGTGATAAAAGGTCAGGACGTTGCTTTTTGTGGTCGTTTTGGGAGTCTTCGGTGGCTGCAGAGGAGGAAGATTCCGGGGAGAGGGAAACAATTCTCCCAGCGTGAGGGAGCGGCCACTCTTATCGCCCAAGGCGGCAGCGTCGGACAGAACCTTAGTGACGGTGACACCTCGAGGCAATGAGGCTCTCGCAAGAATCTCGGCGTTTGCCCCCCTTTGCAGGCTGGAAAAAACAGGTTTTGCGGTTGGGGCAGGGCCGATCGCCGTCAGAACGAGACCGCCCTCATCTGGCGCCGGTCCCCGAGCAGACTTCCCAGAAGTTGGTCGGGGTACGTTGGGATAGGAGAGCTCTCGCCGATACAGCTCTAACGCCTTAGTCCTGAATGCGATCGTCTTGGTCAGGGCATTGGTGCCGCCCAAGATGCCTGCAGTTTCAAGTTCCTTGGCTTGTGCATTCGCAGTTTGGACAATGTCGGAAACCAGGTCATCCAGAGTCTCATATGCGCCTTGCGTCACCTTGTCGGCGATGGTGACGGCCTTGTTGGAGTCTTCCGATTTCGCTCGTTTCGAAGATGGCTCGCCATCCGGGAGGGATTCTGGGATAGGGCGCTTGAGGATGGATGAGCGATCGGGATCGTGGCTGCGTCCCCAGAGTTAGCATCCAGATGTGAGAGATGCGGAAGAGAGAGCAGCGGACGCAATTGAGCGACCAACGCAGCAAGGGGATTGGCATGACTTGCGCATACTTTTGCAAAACATCATAGAGATCGCGAATGAGCGATTTGCTGTCTTGAGGAGTGTGCACGCCATTAACAGGCAGCTGGGGCGGGTTGCGGGAGTTGAAATCGGACTGGTTGTCGTCGCTTGATTCGCGCTTCCGCTTGGTGGAGGAATTGATTGAAGCGGGCGAATCCGGACGCGACAATGCTGCGTCGCCGTTGACGTGGGTCGCGACGGCGGCGGAGGCCATGGCGGGGAGCTCGGTATGGCCGATCGATTGTCTGGGTCCCGGAAAGCGGGAGGTGGGATGCAGTTCGGCGGTCGTGGTTTTTCGCAGGGTCCAGTCTAATCTGGTGTCGCGCGATTCGCGTCGTCCGCGAAAGGGAGGAACGCTGCGTTGCTGCTGTGTGCGTGGGACCGACTGTCACTTGCAACTCCAAAAACTTTGTTGTCGGCACGCCGGCAGGTCGGGGCCGTAAAAGTCATCCAAACGGGCGTACGCGATGGCCAGACAATGCCCAAGTTCGACTACCGCCAGGACTCAACTTGGCATGCGGCTTCCGATGGCATTTCCCTGGATGCAGCGACAGGCTTAGGTTTCAATGTGCAGAGGAGAGGTCGGAGGCTGTCCCTTCTCAGCGTTGGTTCCAAAAAGCCAGCGCGAGGCTTGTTTGCGCTAGCAATGGTTGGGTAATTAGTGGGGCACTATATGAGTCTCCTGCGTGCACGTGACCTGATCGCTCTCTGCAGTCTGGGTTGTTTCACTGTGTTTGCGAAGGCCCCAAATAGAGAGAGGGGTACGTGCGCTTAGGTAAACCTAAAAAAGGCTTATATAATGTACAAAATGCATCTAACGCAGCCCGTTTTTGGGCCCACTCCACTTCACCTTCTAGAGCCCCGGCGTATAAAGCCAAGAGCGACGAAAAGTAATCTACCAGCGTCAAGTACGAAGCGTGAGCCCCGTGAGTTCGAGGATGTTGAGGCAATGCAGGCAACACGGGCTAAGCGGCAATCAATGTACAGCTTGCGGTGAGGTTGGCCATATAAGAACCTCTCGGGCGTGCTCAAAGCGGTATTCAGATGTTGTGCGGATTGATTGAATTGCGTGCTTTTGGTGGTGATCTTGGGTGTTGAAGTCTTCCCGGTGGTGGTCGTGGTAGGCAACGGCTGTGTTAGATGCATTTATAGATAATATAAGTTAAGCCGTTTTCAGGTTTTTGCTCCCCCCACCTGGACAAAAAAAAGGTACTCCAAAAAGCGTCACCCCAGAATTCAATGATCAGAAACATCAGCAGATCGTGGCCGAACTGAATGATCTCAATTGCAATCTTCCCAGTCATAGCGCCTTCCAATTCCAAGCAATCCTTGAAAATCTGAGGGATGTTGTCAACCCAGGCATTGATAGTCTCTTGCTTAACTGCTGCCCAGCCCTCTTCGGCTAGCTCCATGAAGATTTCATGGTCCCAGCAAGGCCTCTTCTTTACATACTGCTTCGGCCCCTACCATGCCTTTTCAATCGGAGGAGAATCCGGGGATTGAGCGCAGTTGAAGAAAGACTCCAAACCGTTCTGTTCCTTCCAAGCGCGTACGATATTGCTCTTGCTTGTACCGTGGCCAGAGTCATT